ACTTGCATTTGTAACCTTAAACATTAAATTTAGTCAGTTTGGATTGTCTTGGCTATAGTAGGGTCCAAACTTTTAATCTGACTATGTTAGTATACCAAGATAGTCTGAACAAGTATATTTTAACTAGTTAAATGGGTTTTATATATTTTGGGTGGTTATGTTGCTTGAATGCAATAATTACATTTTCACTCCTTATTATATGCTTTATGATGGTTGATGGTTAATTCTTATATAAAAAATTGTTTGATGCTTGTGGCTATTAGACAAATGTATTAAGACTTATTATGTGTTGTTCAAGCCTCGTGTGGGCCAATAGATTATGGTTTGAGATTTGAATATTTAGTTGATAGTTTTAAAAGTTAAAATGTGAAATTGTCATATCAGGTGTCCCAATTTTTCATCTGATGTGTCAAATTGATATGAAACTAAAACCTTAAATAGATTATGAAATTTTTAACATATGGGCACTTGAATCACCTCAATCGAAAATTCAAGTCAAAAGTTATGCGCATCAAAAATTCATGATTAGGTAGCTATCATGATGGTTATTGTCATGACATCTTTGGCTGCAGCCAATAGATTTTGACTACAGTTAAAGGACTTCTCGAGATTATTTGGCCATAGCCAAGCTTTTTGGAAGTGTTGGCCGTGGCTTAATATTCTCTAGGAGCAGCTAAGTACCCATTTAAGTAAAAAATAAAACTTTTTTTTACTCATTTTGACTTGTTTTCAACTCTAATTATTTTTCATGCTTGCTAAGCACCTTTTACTTTGATTTATATGGCTACTAAATGACCTTTTAAACTCAATTTTGAGATTTAATGATTTATGAAATCCCATCTCTATGAGGTTTTCTTACTTAGCTTTTATAAATTTTATATAGACAGGGTTTATCCTTTCTTTCCATAACATCTTTTATTATTAAATTAGCTATAAATATCATGATAGTTCTACCTTGAGGTTAAGTGTGTGCTAATTATGTATTTAAAAATTATAGGTTTTATATGGACAAGCATCCCTGGAAGAAGAGTATGCTCTCTATTCACAACCATCCTTAATGACTCTTTAAATAGAGATAACCATTCACGTTGTGGACAGAGGAAGCAAATTTGGTTTAAATGGCTTTTAATCATCTATCTTTGTGAAATACACAAGCCACAACTAATCACGATTGTAAACATAGATAAAGTTTGAAAATTAAATCAAAAAGCGAGAGTAGAGGAAGGGGAGAAAGATAACAGTGATAGGTTTTACTAGGGCTTCAATTTTCATTCACTTGGGAGTGTTTTAAGTCCTCTAATAATCTAGGTAAGATCCTTAATCCTTCCTACTATCTTCCTACATATTTGTCTTAGCAGATTTTTTAGTTAGGAGTTGTGATTTTCAGACTCCAGGGTCTAGATTTGAACCTAATGGCTTGAATGGAGCTATTGAAAGTCGATTTAAGTTTTTATATTTATGATTGGTGACTTTATAATGTTTAAGTGTTAAGTTTGGGGTTTGGATGAACCCTAAGCCAGTTGGAACTTTGAGAGCAATATAATGCATAATCTAATGTTGTTTGAGTTTAGGGAAGCTAAATGATGTTAATGGAGTATTGTTAGAGCATTGGATTAGTTAACGATAAAGGTTTAAGGTTATGAGTAGCTAATTTGAGCTAGATGTTGGTTATGTTAGGATTAATAATTGATTATTAGCATTTGATTGTATAAAAAATTTAGTTGCTTGGAACTTCTTTGAGATTGTGAAGCTTTAGGATTCCACAGACAATCCTTTTTGATAATAAAAGGGTTAAGATAACTAAATAATCTACTTACTTATTGATTTGTTAGATCATATATGATGTTTTATAAAATGTGTAAATATGTAATTATATGTAAATATATGCAAGTGCAAGTATGGGTGTGTGAATTGGTTTTAAAACTCTATATATAAAGTAGGAAAGATGGTTTTAAACCTACATTATTTATCTTTATTTTAAGTGTTAGTTTTATGAATTTAAATTCTATAATAATGTGTTGATAATCATGGACTGTGTGATGTGGATCTATTCAACATGTGGTTGCAGGATCTTGCACATATATGACATAGATTAATGCAACATGTTGTTGCATAATTGTTCATGTAAGGGTAGGAGGTTTGCTTTAGGAGGGAGTAGCACAAAATCGTATGGTGTCTACCAACACTGCATGTGGCCCTAATGTTTCAGTTATATTTGTTTGGAAGTCTTTGCTTATCGCATGTGGTAGTAGTTAAGCATGCAATGCCCTGATTACTCAAAAAAGGGGGAAACCATGTTCTGGAAGAGGAATGGAACTTTAATCTAATTACTTTTTCCTATCTGGTAAGCTCAGATTCATCTAATCACATAAGCTTAGCTCAGTTGTGTTATGAGCCCATAAGTTCAACTACTAGTGTTCAAAGATTCAGTTGGAACTTGTGAATTATGCATTATGAATTGTGAATTAATTATAAATCATAATAATGTTTGTACATGATCGTGTAACTCATTTAATATCTCACATTGCATGCTCATTTATGTTTGACTTGTTAGTAGGTAGTATAGTTTATGTGATTATTGAGATTCTATCTTATTTGTTGGTTCACAAGTTATAGGCGACAAAAGCTTAAATGGGCTAGCCCTAATAAGTCCGATTATATCTCAGGACTCCATTTTGTAAGGCTCCGAGTGTTTCTCAAGGTTGGAGAGTTGGTCTTGAGGCCTCGGGCCTTATTTTTCTCTTTTTTTCAAATTAAAAATATAAAAAAAGTTATTACACATAAATATTAAATTTAAGAAAATAAATTTAAATCAATCAACACCGCAATAAAATATGTAAAAATAAATATCCAAGTCTAATAAAATAATAACATCAAAATTAATACAATAAAATTAAATCTTGATAGCATCATCAGCTAAATCTTATGAATGAATGAAGAGAGGTGAATGGGTATAGGGGTCTTCTTTTTTTTAGTTAGATACTTAGTTTTTTTTTTTTATTTTTTTTAAGATTGAAATTTACAATAATAAGAGCTAAAAAGACCTGCACGAATTACCATTTTCTATCTTAAAATAGTAGCATGACCCTAATTATTTTAAATAGCTCAAAAGAACAAGCCATGAGGGCTTAACCTTCAGTTGACAGCTTTAACACTAATAACCATTGCTATATCAACCGATTTTTTTAACTCTAAAATTGTTTTCAAATCAACATAATCAAAAATTTTTTAATTTTAAAAAACAATTCTAAAAAATGTAATATAAAATACAATTTTTTAAAAAAGAAAAATTTAAGACAAACCCCTTTATTACTTCTTTCCATGTTTTTCTCTACTTTCATTTTTTTTATTTTGTAAATGATATAGTTACAATGATGTCTTTACCTCTCTTTGGACATTAACTAGAACTGTCGTATTGTACTCGTTTTATTGTTGATATCGTCACTTTGCTTCCTTTTAAAAAAAGAAAAAAGAAAAGATAAGCTAGGATTTTTAAAGGAATTTGATTAAATTTGACCTTTGCAAGTGAACAATTTGTGTTAACTGTCACATTAATTCTTTAATATTAATAAAAAAATGTGTAAACAGAATTGAGAACTTAAATAATGTTTTCTTCCTTGAGTTGGCCAGGCTTAAATTGGGTATGCCTGAATAATACATACATTCAAAATAGTAAGCTATTAAACTAAACTGCTAATAGCTCAAAAAGCCTAATATGAATAGTGCACACAATTCATCACATGAATTACATGTGTCACAGGGTAAAACATATCTTATATTGTGAATACAATAGAACAAAAAATTACTAATAGGCATCGGTCTTAATAGAAAGGACTATAGCCACTTATGCACGAAATCTTGAGCTTGGATCGGTACAAATGCAAAAAACGTCTTTGAAAGAACTTCCCTCAATTATGCTCAACCATACTCAAATTTGTCCAGAGTCATATAAAAAGAAATACAACACAATTATGAGATAAAGAAATTTAAGTAGCAGCCAATTAGAGGGACGGATAATATCTTAGGTCTTGCTGAGATTTGTTAAGAAAAGCTTCTCAAATTCTGAATCCACATTGAGTGCCACCTCTTGTACTGCTGGTGATATTGCCTCCCAAATTGATCCCTTACCCGCCAGCTCCACAAAGGCAGGCCTACAATATATATATATATATAATATATATATATGTATATATATATATATGTATTATTTAAATGTAAAATCGTATATTCAATTTTTTCCATAAAAAGATCTGTAAAAAAAAACTGTTCATAAACTATAAAGGAATAATCAATTTTTAGTCTTTCAAATTTGTCTCGAACTTTCAGTTAGATTTGGTTTTTAAGTTTAACTTAAAACTTTTTTTGGCCAACTTAGTGCCTTATGTTCTTTTAAATTATCATGTTAATATTTCAAGTTCTAAAACACAAATTGACTCCCAGTTTAATCTAATGTATAAAGTATATTGATGAATTAACATGTATATGTACAGCTAAATGAAAATAAATTGGCCTTTAAATCAATTTAATTTTTATTGACCAAGTCACTTACACACTATATTTTATTCTTTTTTAGAATTTAGAATTTGGTTTTTTCTACCTAAATAATTATATTTTTTCATCAATATATGTAACTATCATTAATATTTTTTATTCTATATTAGCATATTCTAACAATGCTGTATTTTTTTTTAAATAATAAGGACCAAATCGATAACTGTGCCAAATTTAAGAGATAAAAATAATAAAATTAACTAGAGGGACTAAATTGATAACTAAAAGAAAACTTAAGAGATCAAAAATTTCATTATCTCAATTATAAATAACACAAACTATTTGAGTAATATTAAAGAATCAAAACTTAAAACTTACTTTTTGGTTGTGAGCATAGAAAATGTTTCCATTCCTTCATCACCAGCAATATGTGCAACCCCAAAGAATGACGGCACCATAATTAATTGACCCACCTTGACCTCAGAATTCAAAACATTTTTCCCTTTCATCCCCACAACTTCAACCCTACCAGATCCTCTTGCAACATAAATCACCTCAACCCCACAATTCACACTTTGAATTGGTGCCCTAATTTCACCACCTCCAAGCCTCACTCTCACCACACTCAACCCAACTTCCCCATAAACCCAAACTCACTCTTTGTCAAACTCTGAACTGACCCGCTGCCACGGCTCGCATCTAAGTTAAAGACTAGCTCTCTGGTGAAGTCTATATGGGGATCAGGAAACTTGGGATGCCCTTCTGGGAGCTTAATGATTAGTAATTCTGTTTGGGATTTGGTGAGCTTGGTGCCTGATCTGTGGTGAAGTTGTAAAGTTTTTTGATGAGTTCTGTGGAATAACCTCCTAAGAAGCTTAGGGCTCCAGTGAGGAAGAAGTAGGTGAATTGGCCAGGGACAAAAGACTGAGAAGAAGTTTGACCAGAAAAACTATGGTGATGGGTTGCTGAGAGTGATTAGGGTTGAACCACCATGACATTGCTCCTTTAGGGACTGGGATCACATCTCCTTTCTTTAGGCTCAAAACTATTTCTTTTGTTGTGTTTGGGAGTACCATTCCCACTAGCCCATCAGTCCCTGTTGTATGTTAATGGAGCATCAAGCGCGCATATATATATATATATACATCAATTGATAATAAAAAATATTTATAGTGAACTATATATGGTTTCGTAGATAAGGATTTGTAGGTTATTATTTAGTGAAAATTGCAATCAAGGACTTGCAAAAATCAATGATAATCATTAAGAATCACAAAATCTTGAAATTAGACTTTAGGAACACGGTCCTTGTTTACAGTTTAAAAATATAATGTTTTAATTAAAATCCCTTATGTGAAATGCACATTTTATCACTTATTTTTAAGGGTATTTTAGTCATAACAATAGTTTATAAATTACAGAAAAAAGACCCTAGCACTTAAATTCAATTTCAAAGCTTTATAGTCCTCAATAGTTATTACTGATTTTCCTTACCTTATTTATAATTTCCCCTATTATTTATCAAACTACTTGTGTCATATATATTTATGTATTAATGGAGGATTTCACTTATTTTTGAAGTTAAAATTAATTAAATATAAGGATGAGAAAATAAATATTTTAATTTATTTGATCTATTACTTAACCACAGTTGTTTGAGTTAAGGAACGCTAATTACTAAATTAAGAACTAATTCTTTAATTGCAAGTATTTCCTAAAATTTTTATTGTGCAAATTTTATAAACTATATTAAAATCCATAAATTTGTAATTAAGTACTCTCTCTAAACTGTAATATATATCATTGTTAACTAATTCAAGGTTTATGAAAAATGTTAATTGAAACTTTATTTTCTAAAAATGTATATCTTTTCATTTATATACTTTCAAGAGTTCTTAATAATATGTGTACGATTTTTAAATATAGAGCATTTAAAGACAAGAGATGAAAAAAAAAAAAAGCAAGGGTATAACTGAGGAAAAAACATAAAATCTACAACAATGCCTTATCTTTTAGATCAAGAGTTGTTTTTAAAAGATGGCTTATATTATGCTCTGGAAGGAATAACTTGTAATAGACTATACTATTTAAAGCTCGTGAATAATATATCTAACAAATTTATCAGAATCTACATACACTACTAACAACGCATAAAGTATTAACCATTTGAAGAGAAATAGATACAAAGAGTTATCCATTAATTAATGTGTATATGTTTCAATTATTTTAGTATAAAAATATTATTATTTTCTATGATCAAAATCATTTTTTCCATTGTTTATGTATCACATATGTCAGACAAGTTGTAAAGCATGTTACTGAAAGAATCTTAATTAATAACTTTCGCATGCTTAACGTGAACATTACTCTATTTCTTCCTTAGTTTTTTTAATGATATGATTTTTTTCTTCCAAGTTTCATAATTTTGAAAATCGGACCACACCGGCTACCAGGTTGATTAGAAAACTAATGAAATCTTGACTTGTTTTTTTTTTTATTATTTATATGTATCCTTATATTAGAAGCAATCCTATTGAAAAGACTATTGAGTAATATATATATATATATATATATATAGACAACTCTTCCAATAAAAATTTAAACTTTAATTTATCAGGAACTGATTTCTTTTGCTAAGCCCAACATATTCATAACCTTGACATGTTTATTTAATTTGAAGAAAAGGGAGAAACTAATAAAAAAACTAATGAATCAAATTGATTAAAACCAGTAAAAACCCATCAAATTAGCCCAAACGGGATTTTTTTCCCCCAAAGGTAAACAAGCAATGTTTCCACCTAACAACAGGGAAATTAAAGTGCTGAATCGAAATTATTGTGATTTGTGGGAGCATAAAGGTAGAACGATAAAAAAAGGGCAGCAATGTTTAGATTCTATATTTTTGAAAGTCAGATTAGAAGAAAAAAGGAATTTTAATAAAAGAACTTTTAAACCTGATTTTTACAATCCCTTTAAAAACAGGCTCGGGTTTTCAGATCTTTTATTTTTCTCTATCTTGTTTTGAATAGGATGTTGTTGAAATTATTAAAAATATTTGCTTAAAATTGTTAATATTACAAATTAAAATAACATGGTTGAAATTGTTTGGTTTATTTTTATTTTTGAATTAATAACACAATTGTTTAAACTATGTCCCAACATAATTAGAAATTTAAACAACAAATTAGACAAAGGCATGCAGGCTTTCTAGCCTGATTCAAAGCTCTATCAATAAGGATCAAGCTTGAAAAACATGATTAATTTAGAATATATATACAAGCTTATAGACTTAAATCTTTAAAAGTTGAGCTTATAAAAGTCATGAGATAAATCAATCCTTATTAACAACTCTACACAAAAAGACTGACCTTGGAGGACGTAACCAAGTTTGTGAGAGTCAGCATAGTGAGGAAGAGCGAATCCAGCAGGTTGAAGCTGAAGCCAAGCAGCAGCTACATTGGAGCAAGCCATATCAGAAGAGGACCATACATAGTATGCTCCTCCTTCTCCTTCAAACACTTTCTCTCCTGTTTCTGCTCTTAATTCTTCCAACTCCATTCTTGATGGATCTTAATCCTCTCTCTCTACATACATATAAATAACAGAGAAAATGAAAAGTAATCACTGTGATTATTGAGGGAATAAGAAGTACCTGTGGATATACAGTAGTTGGAGCTACCGAGAGAATTCTAGATACCTTCCGAGGCTGAGTAAGACTTGAGAGCAATTTCTGTGAGAAGCTAGTGATGTGGCTAAGGATGGCTGTATTATATTTACAGCTAAACATGTTAAATCATTACTTATTACCAACAAAGAAAAATAAAAAAGCTAAATTATTGCTTGACAACTTGCATTATTTAAAATTATCTTTGGTCCAATCATGCATTTTTTTAATTATTATTTCAAATTGCTTGTTTAACATGCCTTAGAATATAATTTAATCAATAATTAAAAGGGACATTCCGAGGTCTTATTTTATGATATATTTTTTGATAAAATTTTTAATTTTTTATAATTTTTTAAAATACCATTCATTTAATAAAAGAGAGAATAATATATTTAATACATTAAATAATAAAGGATGATTTTGGAATAAAATTCATTGACAAATCAAAGCATTTTATATTATAGAACATAGAGTCACTTCAAAAAATATTTTATAAAGTGAAGCGAAAGTGGTAGTAATTATAGGAAAATTATAAATAGTTTTCATAAAAAAATTATTTATAAATAATTTTTATAAAATTATAAAAATATACTGACATCATGAGACTTGATTGTAATTAATTTACTATATAAATAATACAAAAGACCCTAGACTCTTACCCTGACTAGCATTAACAGTAGTCACTGATTGGTTAGTTTAATGTTTTTAAGTCAAACACCATAGATTAATAAATAAGTATTTATAATTTACAATTAAAACTTATTTACAAGCCAGCCTATTGTAATATTAATATTTTAATATTTATAAATCAAAGTTTTTAAATTTACAAATTAAACTTGCAAATTAAAATCTTTAACTTGTAAACCTGTGAAATTTAACATATAAGTTTGTGAAATTAACTTGTAAATATTAACTTATTAATATTATAAGAAGTCGATTTATAAATATATAAAAAATTTGAGTTGTAAATTTATTTATAAATACATTACATTTGACTTGTAAATATTAAAATATTTTTTGATTAGTCAATACTAATCAGTGATCGATCAACAATTGCTGGATGTCAGTCAATGCCAATTAGAGAGGTTAGAGTTATTAAATTTTTTATACAAGTCTCATTTGTAATTTTTCTAAATATATATATTTATATAGCAAATGAGTACCTTGCTGTGGTAAAACAACTACACTAGTGATATTGTCTTACTAGCAGATTTGGACCATTCACATAAAATATGGATAGTTTTTATTTTAGATTAAACTTTTTAACATTTTAATTCTTTTAAATTTTGAAACATGCGAAATGTAGAGTAATTTAGCTGTCACCTGCAAAAAAAGTAATGATAGCGATCAATAATAAAATACCATACAGTCCTGTTTAGAGTGAGAAATTGTAACATCATGAAAGATTTAATCCTAATTAATTAAGTAAATGAAGTTAACTAAATAAACTAATGCGTGTGCTTGCAATATCCTTCTCGGTCAGCTTGATGGCCCATCCTCGCTTAGTTGCTCTTGGCTCTAGGTGCTTGATTAAGATTCTTGCCGTCTCACTTCAAGTGTTCTGGTGCCGCGATCTTTGATATTTCCTCCTAACACATGCTTTTGCTCAATCTCTGATTTTCATAGTTATTATAGCCATGGATGCTCATCTCGCGATGTTTGATTCTCGGCTTCAGGTAACGGTGCTTGGCTACTTATTTCTGGGTTCGTTTTGGTTCTCGCACTTGTGTTCTGGTATTTTATAGCAAGACTAATGTTTTGTTTGGCTGGAAAGAAAATATGGAAGGAAAGAAAACATGGAGAGAAAACATGAGAGAAAATCAATTTTTCTCTATTTGGATAGGGAAGAAAAAATGAGAGAAAAGAAAAAGTAAGAAGAAAATAGAGTGTGGAATTCACTGTATTTTTCTTTCAACTTTTTTTCTAAAAGTGAAAAGATTTTGAAAGTAATTTTTTTTTTTCACAATCTACCCTCCCTCTCTATCTTATCTATTTCACGTTCTGACTCCCAGAAGATTATTTAATTACATTAATTTAATTTTAATTAAACAATTTGATTTAAAATTTTTAACTTTTATGATTATGAATTACATTAGTTTAACTATTTAATTAAATAATTTAGTCATTGGCTGATTCAAGTATCTAGATTTACTTGATAGCAAACATCGTGGTCTTGTGAGTAACTCTAAATTTTAGGGGAGAGATGTTCTTTCTTTTGTTATGATGGCTTTGAGTTAAACTTTATGAGCTATTGAATTTATGACCCATTTTTTTTTGTTTGTTTTTCATTTTAGGAAATAGAGGTTGCAAAGTTGCTTGAATACAAACACATTTGACTTTTGTTTATAATATTTCATGACCATGTTTAATTTTATTAGTGCTCACTTTTGGTTTTAAAATGTGAAAATAATATATTTTATTAAATTATTTGATTTTAAAATATAATATAAAAATACATTTTTAACAAATGATTTGATTTTAAATTAATTTGATTATATTAATTTTAATATAATTTCTACTTTCAATTTATTTGTATAAATATAATTACATGAAACATGATCTATTTTGATATAAGGGTATTATAGTCATTATAATATCTGTTCATTTTCTTTTCTCTCCATTTTCTCCTGTCCATCCAAATAAAAGAAGTGATAATATTTTTTTCAGTTTTCTCTTCTCTCTATTTTCTTTTTTCTCAACTTGTCTTTCCATTTAAGCGGAGGATAAAGGAGGGAACCTAGACAAATAGAAATGGTTGCACTTGTGTTCTAGTACTTCATTGTTTTTGTTATGTTCTCAATAGATCTATGAATATTCTTAATCTCCTGCATTACATTCCCTTTTCATTTATACAAATTCAGCCCTTAAAAGAAATTCACATTTTTCCCTTCATTCTTCAATGGCCATCTTTCAGAACCACATCAAGTCATACAAGAAATTTTAGGTTTTGATAGTTTTAGTGATTTTAGTTGTGTTCTGATTGGTGAATGCAGTTGAAAGCGGTTTAGTGAGAAGCAAGCAAAACAATGGCGGGGGTGAAAATCTGTAAATGAGTTTGTTCTCTTTTGCAACTTGGTTAAATTTTATAGCAAAATAATGCTGATCAATTATATTTTGCTTCCATCTGATATTAAAGATTTGAGGAAAGCTAACTAGGTTTAGCTTGGTATGGAAAGAACAGGGGTCTGATTGTCCTTTTCTGATTATTTTCTGCTTAGTTTCATCTTACTTCTAATTTTTCAAATATTATATATATATATATATATATATATATTAGAATTTTTATTTGGATTTGCTAGATTTTTTAAAAAAATTTAAAATATTTTAATTAATTTATAATTTTTATTTTTTTAAATACATGGGCTTATAAGCCGACTCTAAGTCCCTTGAATAAAAGTTGGAGCTAAAAAATAAAATATTTTTTGGGAAATAAGTTTAAGGGTTAGGTCCAACCATTTTCCAACTCTTTCTTATTTAATATAATTTTTTTAAAAAATAATAATCAATCTACTAATATTATTTCAATTTTAGACATGCTATAATTATTATTTTTTTAAAAAAATTTTACTTTTTAGATTAAATTATCTTGTATTCTTTGCTCAAGGTATGTCATTGCAGCCAGGATCCTTATTGCTCCCTTTAAATCCATCACTCCAGACGAGTTAGTAACCTATTCTAATATAAAAGAATTTGTTAATGGCGTAAAACAATTTTTAAAATAAAAATAGAATATGTTTTAATTTATATTTTTGATTACTTACTTGAATACATTAAAATAAATTAGTTTTCATTTTTATATCTTTATTTTATTTTTACATTTTAAATATTAAAATATCTTCGTGCAACTCTCAGGAAATAATTCTTTTTTTTTTTAATAGACGTCGATGAGATCACCTTACATCAACATGAATTATTTTTTAATTGATATAATCAAATAAATTTTTACTTTATTTTAATTTAAAAGACAACTTTAAAACTGTGTGACAACAAAGTTTTTAAAAATAAAAAATGAAAATAAAAACCAAATAGACCCTATGTTTTTCATCTATCAAGTCCAGTGACGGATCCAAAAAAATAAATTCATGGTAGCATAATATTTCTTAAAATAAATCTTAATATTTTATAAAAAATATAAATTAATTATTTACTAAATTATATTAAAGGTATAATTTAATAAAACTAGATAACAAAAAAATGCATGAATAAAACATAAAATTGTAATAAAAAATTTATCTTATTATATAATTTTTTTAATTTCTATTAGTTTCATGTTTTTTATTTTTATTAAATTAAATATTTATACCTCTCTTTTCATAGAAAATAATTAATTTATGATAAAAATTTTTGATAAACAAAATATTCTATTAAATTATTACTCTTCTATTCTAAAACTATTTCTATTTAAGATACACTACATCGATAAGATTTTAATTTATAAAATTTTTAGTGAAATAAGAAAATTTTTTTTAAGAGAACAAGTGATTTTTTTTTTAATAACTAAAATCTTCTAAGATCATCTTGCATGTTTCTGCACGTCCTTGATTAGATCCAAAAGGTATTCAGCTTGTACTTATCTCCATTAATCCGATATCATTCAAATCATATTAGAATAAGACGGGATATGAGATTATCATCGAGATGTCCCATCCCATTCCAAATATTATATATATATATATATATATTATTTTTATTTTAAAAATATACATTAAATATATTAATTATATTAATATAATTTATACTTATGTTAATTATATTAATTATAATTTCAATACTTGTAATTTTTATACAAAACTAAAGTGTTTTGTATCAATAATTTTAATAACATAAAGTAAATAGGGAAATATCTTTCTTTATAATATATTAATTATATTAATATAATTTATTCTTATATCTATATATTTAATAGCTTTTATTTATATTTTATTTTTTATTTTATTTTTGAAAGAGTAATTAGCTTTGGACATCTTAATTAAAGTAGAAGAAAAATGATTTGATGTTGTATTGAGCTTGCCTAGTGTTGTTGCTCTTATAGCTTAAAAATTTCTTGTAATTACTATTATAATATGTAGTTGTGATCAATATAATTTAATAATTAATTTTTAAATTATTGTGATTTATATATTTGTATTGTTTTGATTTTAAAGTTAATAAATTATATAATTTAAAATTTAAATGAATGTTATTATTCAATTTTTTTTATATTATCTGATTTATCGTGACAGCAGAACGTCCCGATCTAATTTTAACTCCTAACTGAATGAGATGACTTTCAAAACGGGACATAACAAAAGATAAAAATTCAGTTTCAGTTTTTTTTTTTTTTTTTTTTTTTTACATGAGATACAGGATAGGAGTATCCTGATCTTATCTTATTGCGTGATCACTCCTACCATATCCTTATTAAGATGAAACAGGTTCTTGAGTTCTGTCTCTGGCAATGCTCTGTAATAGCTTCACGAGAGTCATTTTCAATAATCATTTTGTTTTTGGCCAAACATTTTCGATAACCATTGAAAGCATGAAAACTCACATGCATTCGGACGATTAGACATTTTCAATATTTTATTTTGTTTTCAACATTTGGACGATGGCTATTTCAATTTATATTATTCTTTCCTATCCAAGGCACTTTTAAATACAATATCATAAATTAATAAATCTTATTGAATATATTTAATAAATTTATTTTTTAATAAACATAAAATCTTAAAAAATATATTTAATTTAATATATTAAAAAAGAAAGGATAAAAATTAAATAGAGAGAGAAATAATAGTATTGAAATAAGCTTATTAATAAGACATTAATCTTATTAAAGTATCTTATAATTTAGAATAGGGGGAGGATTAATTTATTATAATGTATTATATAAAAAAAATAAAAAACATAATTTTAAGTTCCTATAGTTTCATTAGTTATTGCTTTAATCCTCATAGTTTTTTCTAATATTTTTAATCCCTATAATTTCAACAAAATTAAATAACATTTGTTACTTAAGTCTATAATTTCAGTGTCTTCAAACTAGAAAAACTGAAAATAAACTAGAAAATTAAAAGCAAAATTGTATAAAACTATAAGGATCAATAACTATATTTTTCCTAATAAAAAGTTCATGCCTTAATTAAGGCTTTAATAGAAGATGGTGGATAAAGCGGTGCACAGGATGGGATGAAATTGTGATGACCCTTCCCAATCGTCTCGAAAGCATTTTTATCCTGTTTGGAATTGGAATGAGATGAAAAAGATTGAAAAATTTTAGTAAAAGGATGAGGGTGGAAAAAAAAGCTGAAAAAAAAAAAGAGGGTCAATTAACTAGTCACTTTTGACAATATCCCTATTTTTAAATTTTAAGTAATCGGGCATACTTTTTCACATTTTTTAATAAAAATTCACTTTTTTAATTACGTTTGGATGCATTAGGATTACAAATTGAAGTATCCTTGACAGACAACTAATAGTAAACATGAGTTATAAAAATAGCAAAATCACAATATACAACAAAAAAACATAACTCAAGTTCAACACAACACAAATAAATAATCATAAATCACAAGTAATAAATTATTATAAAAATAAAAATATTGCGTTAGCTATTGACTTTTCTTGCTGGGTATGGAGCAGAAACGATAGGAAGAGTGCATTACCCTTGCTGCAAAAGGTTAATTTTAGAACAAATAAAATAAATTTATTATCTATAAAACAAAATAATTAAATATAATTAAATGTTAAGGGGCAAACATGCCCTAGAATTTTTTCAAGACGGACGGCTGGTAGTATCCTTATTATTTCACTTTTGAAATATATTTATTTCTCTCTCCCTTGATGAAGAGTGCTCCCTTCAACTCCTACTATAAGATGCTTTTTAGAGGAATTATTTGGTCTGTAATATAAGGCACTTGATGCATATTAATTAATTTTTTTTGTTCAAATTTACATCTATTTAACTCATTAATTTTAAGAGAAAATGTATTATAAATTTAAAAATTGTTCATTTAAATATGAGCAAAAGTTGAAGGTTTATTTCATTTTCATATAAAATCAATAATTTAACTACCTCTTTTTATATCTCAACAAGGTGATTAGAAATGCCTTATGTTAAGAATGGGGGGAGACCCTTTGGAAATCGGGGGAAGGGGGCAATAGTAGTGGAAGGACACCGCATCTTAATTCAAAACCTTTAGGCTCAAGTTTATGGATATTTTCTCTTCATTACACATTAATTATTAAGCTTAACTTCATCCAATGTGAGACTTCTTATATTGTCTTTAATCCACTCACATTTGAATAACTTAACAATCTCCTCCTCAAGTGTGAATCCACAAGTTTTTCATATCAAAGATAACCCGAACATCAAGTCCTTACTTTTTTTTTTTCTTGTTTTAGAGCCAGCCTAGTTTTTGGGCTTCAAATGATATGGCGCATACAAGTTTTTACTCCAGCAAGGGCCAATCCCATTTTAGACTTTCAATGTATATGCACTAACAAGCTTTAGGTCTTGAATTAAACTAGGCTTTGACATCATTTGTTAAGAATGGCGAGTGATTGCCTGGAAATGAGATAGAAGAGAGACATGCAAGAATAGTAAGAGAACATCACATTTTAACTTAAAATCTCAAGATTTAAATCTATAAATACTTCCTCTTTATTATATATTAATTATTAAATCCAACTTTATTTGATGTGAGACTTCTCACATCATCTTTAGTCCACTCATACTTTGACAATCTAACACCTTAACATACATACATAATAAAATGAGAACAAATTAATTCTTAAACCAATTTAATTTTTATTAATTTAATCTCTTATACCAAATTTTGTTATTTTTTTAAATGTCTATATAACTTGATAAAAGAACAAAATGCAACATAAGAGATGAAATTGATAAAAATTAAAATTAAGGTTAGATTGATAAGTGAGGCAATATTAAGGAATTAAAAGTTTCATTATTCCAAGAAAGAATATGTCACTTGTTAATTACATTAATATTGATACTTGGGAAAAAAACAAAGAACGGAAAGGAACTCAGGCACGAAGGGAAAAGAGAAGAAAAAGTGAACTTTGTTGCTCACAAGACTGTCTAACATTGATGCACTTGAGAGAGAGAGAGAGAGAGAGAGAGAGAGATGGGAAGCGATATTGAGATCCAGTGGGGTGCTGTGGGTCCCAAACTTATTGGTTTTGTGCAGCAAGCTTTTGAGGGGAGGAAAACAGAATCCCGCTCACTTTGATAGGTTGATTACTAAAACTGACCAGCCAGCTCTCATTTCTCAATTTTGACCTATCTCACTTTGTATTGTATTGCAATGTTTCTTATTCTGGCAAGAAGGATTTGGTCAACAGATGAGAAGCCAGAGAGTAAAATTATGAACCATAGAGATAAATGACCAGAGCATCACAAAATGGGGCAAAAAAAATAAAAAATAAAAAAATTACACATCTATGCTTCATATACAATCAGCATCAATATTCAAGTTTCTGTACAAAAGCTATTAACCAGAATCCAATTGAAAATGGTAAAAAGAAAAAGATCTACCAGAATGAACGTTTCAAGATACAAGGACACCTCAAATAGTTAACATCAGAGTAAAAAAGATGTACCATCGTAATCTAGCAGCAACTAACCCCTCAGTGTCAGAATTTTTTAATACTTCACCTATAGTGAATTTTGTGCTTTTAATTTAATATGTTGCCTGGACAAAACCTCTGCGATGAGCTGGCGGCCGAATAGATGAGAGTTCTTGAGGATGAGATTTCTAGTTGATGAATCAACAAGGTAACCTTGACTTGGCATCCATTGCAGCAGCTGAAGAAGCAAGTCCTTCTTCTCAGGTTGATCTATATACCGTGACACAGCCGCCTGAAATAAATCCTGAACGCAGGGAAAAACAAACATAAAAAGAAAGCACTATATGACTAATTCTAGAGTACAAACCATAACTTTGACTTGTAAAATTAATCAGCTTGTTTGATTGACACTCCAACTAGCAAGAGGTAATTAAGGGCCGTTTAGTTGCTGGAAATGAAAAGAATGAAACTGATTAAAGAAATCAAAACAAAAATGAACTAAATGATCTTCTCCCCTATCATAAACATGTTAAAACGGTAAAACCAAAAACCACATATTACAAATGTGAAAATCACTATACCCCCTACAAACCTCATAAATCATGATTCCCAATTTTATGAACTAAATTACTCTTTTTCCTCATGAACATAATTGACCTATCTCCCCTTCACAATTCAATTATTTTGTTTTTGCCTTAATTTCTTTAATCCATTCCTTATCCTTTCTAGCAACCAAACGGGCCATAATTATTGTTTATATATGGGATTTGGTTCACAGGTTCTCTAGTAGAGGTGTTGTTATGCATACAGTAAAGAATGTCAAAGACATGAAATCATGAACAACTCATCATTTTCATTCCAATACACAAATATTCGAGCATTACCTTATCAAGTTTGTGGCCACAGCTATGAAGGGTCTTCATAACATCATTTATCATGTTGATATTACCTGATTTCATAAAGGCAGCTGCAAATCTTTTTGTAGCAGGCCGAGAGATGAATTTTGCATTATCCTGTACATAAGAAGATTCATCATAAGAACTGCACTTTCATGAGAAAAACAGAGGAGATTCATCATAAAATCTTGGAATACCTTGACTACTACGTAAGCATCTTTTAAAAGTCTTCCTGCTAGCAGAATATGTAGAATCTTCTCATGAAGTGCCTTGCACATTGTTCTCTTGCCATATCTCAATATATTGTAAACAGAAAATGCCTCTGGATAAGCTTTTACCTTACCAAGATCAGACATTAACGAGGAACAAAGTTCCTACAATGAGATAAAAGCATTAGGAAATTTTAATTGGTCAATTGTAATGATAAAAGGATCAAACAATAAATGCTCTATACATTTTCATACATTGAAAGATAACGAATTATTAAAAAATAACGAATTAATACACCAGTTTTACAAAATGAAGCATTCTGAGCTTATTTAAATCAAATTGCAACAATACTTTCAGACAATCTTGGTCAGGAGCCTAAAAAGGAAATAACTTTTTTGACCAATTTAGTATCATTCTTCCATGGGCCGCATTTCTGCCCAAGCAATTACAATTTTATGACGTTTCATTTGTTAAAAAACTTGAATTTTTTTTGAGTGAAACAAGATGAAAGAGGTATGACATAAGAGAAGATTAAAAAAGAAGATACTAATAACAAAATTAAGAATTTCAAGGAAAAAAATTATAAGGTTGCTGGAGCCAGGCTTAACTTTGCATTGAAGTCCTATGGGCCCAGTGTTTGGATTTTGATTTAACTTTATTAGTCCATAAGTTAGACTCCGGCCTAGGTCCACTGACTTGGGCCAAGTATGCATAATGGCTGACCTAACCCACAAATAGCTATAATTATAAATAACTCGATGTAGACCCATAAATTGCACGGGACCTGAGGTAAGAACCGCATTATTTACATTTTATAAATAGTGCAAAATTCTAGAGTTTATTCGTCATATCGATATTGATATTGATAGGAAGGGCCGGAGGGAGGACAGATATATAGTCTGCTGAGGAAGACTTGTTCAATTGAACAAGGGAATCAATGTCAATACTAGCATCAGTAGATTGATTGACACCATACCTCCGCTGGTTGATAACCTTTACTATGCATGTCCTTCATGGTTCGATAAGCTAACAGATACATCTTTTCCTTAGAGAAATATCTTATCAGGATATGGAAAGTATTGTAATTAGGACTGATTGCCAATCCATCCATCTTTCTTAGTGTTTGCATTACGCTTTCCATTTCACCTGCTCTACAGTACGCACACAGCATCGTATTCAACATAACCAAATCATATTTGTTGAAGGTTGCTTCAAAATCATTGGCCAACAGTTTTGCTTCATCAAAAAGCTTGCTTCGGCAAAATGCTGATATCATGATACTGTGAGCATAACCATCTGTGATTAAGAATTAAAAATATACGAAATTAGAACATTAAAAAAAAACCAATATTAGCAAATTTTTTTATCAAATATAAAAAAAATTGGCACATGAAAGATTAAAATCCATCCTTTGCTTGACTTGCACAATGATAAAACAATAGAACATTATGATGAAGAAAACAGAAAGACTAGCTGATTCAACATGCTTGTACAATCAATTACAAATTAAGACAAAGATCCAGCAAAGATTCCAAAAATAGAAAATAGGATGACCTGACCATTGATTTGATGATTTCTATGAAGAAGCTGATAGAGCTGAAGAATTAGAACAGATTTATATATCATTTCCTAGGGCCTATAACATAGTCTATATGGAGGGACATGGTGTAGGAAAGAGACTAAAGAATTATCTTCCAGTGGATAAGAGAATTACCCAAAGGTTCCTGGCCATAGGGGGACAAAGTGATGTATGAATAGGGATTAGGTTCAGCTAGGATTATGTTCAACCTTTTGTAACTTTTTGGGTCTTTAAATCTCTCCTTTCGTCCAGAGGGAGGGTGGGCAGTATTTTGAATATTGAGAGTGGTAAGGAGAGCTCTGGCCTCTCGAATGCCAGGTTGGGGGTGGAGGAAGTCATCTTTCTTCATCATTTTATCTTCTGCTTAGTGTATGTTTGTAAGTGAGTGACTTATATTTTGTGACTGTTGTTTGGTGGAGTGTATTTTGTGCTGTTTTTGTTTCAGTACGTCGTAATTTTCAGTTCCTTATTTCGCTGTAATCCAACTTTGCTATTCGGTAATAGTAATTTTCAGTCCCCATTTGTGGTGTAGTTTCTGGTTTATGCTTGTTTAAAGCTTATTAGAATAGAGGGCTCCATCATTTGGTATCAGAGCAGTTCGATCCAAAGGGGAAAAAAAAAAGTATGGCAACTTTGCAAGAAGAACTTGTAGTTGCAACAGCTAAGATGTCAGAATTGTTGAAGAATGTGGTGGAAAGAACAGAGGGGACGCAAAGGCAATTAGAGAAGTGCACACGACTTTTAGACAAAATGGAGATCAAAGAAAGATGTTTGCTGAAGCAGAAAAGAAGAAATTAGAGGCTAAAGTCAAAGAATATTCTGAAGAAGGAAAAGGTGTTGTATGTGCAGATGAGGCAATACCTAGTCAGAATACAAGCAAAGAAAAACTTGTTTCTAAAGATGGATTTGCAATATCATATGCAGAAAAAGAAAAGAGTGAAGAACGGACTCTTGAGTCAAAATCTGATAGTGTTATCAAAGTCCTTTGAGGTTGAAGCCGAAGACGATTCCAACAGAAGTGATTTTTTTAGAGGAGAGGAAGCATCGACAGAGAAAGAAGTAGATAAAGGACTCAAGGCTGATCAACCATTAAAGTTACTACCTTTATCAAGAGGAGAGTTCGAAAAACATTCTGGTGACAATTCAAAAGAGATGAAACCTGAAGCTTTTCAACTTGTAGAAGCTTTCGAAATATTGCCAAACGCACCTAGAGATGCTCAACAAGTATTTGTTGCAACAGAAGAGACGGATGAAGAAACAAAGAGAAGATGGGACACTGTGAGGGTTCAAGGACGACATTGGAGAAAAGAGCGAGGAAGAGACAGGATGAAGTCAAGGGAGGTTGACGGCCAAGAAAAGAGAAAGTGGAGGCTGGACCGGGTTAGGTTAATTACTCACTGCAGAAGCCCAATAATAAAGGAAGGAAATTCTTTTGGACCCAACAGCTTTTTTATTTATGCAAGGAAGATGTCCCAATCGCATAAAATTTTAAATCTGATATTTAGGAAACATCTAATGGGCTTGGGCCTTAGGGTGGAAAAGAGAAACCCTATCTTTCAAAAAATAGCCCAATCACTCATTTACTTGGTGCCACTCGTTACTCTCCAATCCAACCTTTCCTCTTCAAACACCGCAACGGCATGGCTGCTGGAATTTTCCTGGCAAATGACGCTGTCAAACTCAAGTTCGGAGGGAGAAGATGATGAAGCTGCGATTAGTTTCCCTGGTGATAACTCCCATAAAAATATCTGCAAATCTGTATGTTCTGGTTTCGACAGTCTCAATCATGGAAAGAAACATCTCTTCTGCACAGTTATCGATGCGATGAGTCTAGGCATAGAAGCAGAAGACGTTGAAGCAAAAGTGGCTTTTGTTTCTCCTAAAAAATCCCACGGTGCTTGCTACAATTCCATTCTTCCTTCCTTCAATCATCTCACAAATGACAGGCAAGGTTGCCGCTGTGTGGAAGTTAACTCAGAGCCTATTTTGTCAAGTTCTTTGCTTCTGCCATCATCATCAAACCAGTTTGAGTTTCTTCCCCTGTTCGTTTATAAAAATCAAAGAGAGAGGATGGAATTTCTCAGCCACAAGAGAACACTTGGGACTAAGGACGAGCCTTCTTCCTACATGCAATTGATGAGTCCTTTGCTTCCTCTATCACTCCCGATTCATCTAGAAGAATTGGGATTAAGGATGCTAATGGGTTTAATTTCCCAATATATGCAGATCTTGTTAGGCCTAATCCAGAAGGAGCCCATGAATACTTCCATCCAGAGCAGTTTTCTTACCTCATCAATGTTGACACGGCAAGAAACGGTGGGTATAAGGTTGTTCTTTATCACGATTGGGTGCCGAGTGCCACAGTTGCTGCACGTCCCACTTATCTGCTCAAGAGTTCGAGTTTGTTCAGAGAAAATTTCTGGGTTATTGAGATTTTTGAAGACGTGTTGGAGAGAGCATAGACCCCTGAAAATTTCACTTAGAGGAAAAGCAACAGTGAGCAAGCTAGGAGAGTCTTCTATTCTGTCCAAGTACAAGAAGATGTTTGGGACTAATTACTGGCCTTTTTCATTTGAGCATTTTGAAGCACTAAAGAGGCTCCAGGTGAACATTGCCAATTCAGCAACAAGGGGTGAGATGGAGGCAACTATTGGCACTAGAAGACTGTTTTGGCCAAACAGTAGAGACCAGAATAGGCAAATCAGGCCTCTAGTATTGCGGTTAATGGCTGAAACTGAAGATAACAAGGGAAGAATATTAGAGAAAGAGAGGGTGGCTTCGTTTCTGGGTGCTCTTTCTATATTAATTCACTTAGATGCTGTCAATACTCAAGCAAAAGCAAGAATGGCAGCAACAAGGGAATTTCAGGGACGACAAAATTTTCCGAGTGTAGAATCTTTGATCTTGGTTTTGAAGACTTGGCCCCCTGCTTATGAGTCTGAAAATTTTCCAAATCTGCAGCAAACCTTTGTTTGGCAGCTTGTGATTCTTTTTATTTGGGATGGAGGTAACACAGGTGAAAATTACCCAAGAAAAAGTCACATTTCAGCTTTAGTGTTTAAGTATGAAGCTGAACATTATTCTCTTGTTGAAGAGAAAGGAGGTGGAGGAGCTATAAGAAGAATATACTTGGGTCATACAACATCATCTTCAGACATTCTGCATTTTGCTACAACAAAGAGGGCAACTACTGTAGAAAGGGGGATGAAGTGCTGCAATATTAAAAATATCACAGTTCTTGGCAGTCCAAATTCTAGCATGGTTTTTCATGTTCTAGGTTCCCAAAGGATTCAAAGTCCATATGAATATAGTTGTATCGAGAAACCTTATAATGGAGAGATCCCAGCAAGTGTGGTTTCACAACAGCTGCAACCGGATATACCATTGGCTAGAGATTCTTCAAGCACTCAAGAGAAGTTGAGTTGTCTGGGGAGGAAACCACCACTGCTTACTTCTAATTCTTACCTTGAGGACAAGGTGAAGCTTCAAGGGGAGGGTAATGATAGAGCTGAAGAATTAGAACAGATTCATATATCATTTCCTAGGGCCTATAACATAGTCTATATGGAGGGACATGGTGTAGGAAAGAGACTAAAGAATTATCTTCCAGTGGATAAGAGAATTACCCAAAGGTTCCTGGCCATAGGGGGACAAAGTGATGTATGAATAGGGATTAGGTTCAGCTAGGATTATGTTCAACCTTTTGTAACTTTTTGGGTCTTTAAATCTCTCCTTTCGTCCAGAGGGAGGGTGGGCAGTATTTTGAATATTGAGAGTGGTAAGGAGAGCTCTGGCCTCTCGAATGCCAGGTTGGGGGTGGAGGAAGTCATCTTTCTTCATCATTTTATCTTCTGCTTAGTGTATGTTTGTAAGTGAGTGACTTATATTTTGTGACTGTTGTTTGGTGGAGTGTATTTTGTGCTGTTTTTGTTTCAGTACGTCGTAATTTTCAGTTCCTTATTTCGCTGTAATCCAACTTTGCTATTTGGTAATAGTAATTTTCAGTCCCCATTTGTGGTGTAGTTTCTGGTTTATGCTTGTTTAAAGCTTATTAGAATAGAGGGCTCCATCAGAAGCTAAATTTCATTAATCATATTTGACCATAGAAGAAGATAAGGGGGCGAAGAAAATGAGTTTTCCCAATGTACCAATGCCATTAGGACAAAGACCCAGTTAACATGGATCTTTGGCGATTCAAAATTACAAATTTACACGCAACAGTCTGTGGTAATAACTCTTGAAAATCCATAGGATCCCTTCCTTCCTTCAGAACAATCAACTAAAAAAAATCATAATTTATTTAAGAAATTGTTTTTGCCAAAGATCAAACTCCAAAAGAACACTTACCAGATCTGACATGCTTTTTCTCATTTCATCAAACAGTAGTTTAGCTTCTTGCAGTTGTCCAGCCTTAGCAAGGCCATCTATCAATAAACAGTAGGGCATCTGCATATATACATTTGCACTTGTTAAGTGAGAAAACATTGAGAAAGAAAAGGGTTCAAAGAAGAATATATTAATTATAAACTATTAATTAATATCTAAATCTCACGACATCAACTAAGCAGTAACAGTGCTAAGATGTACAGACAATATAGAATAATTTGGTAAACTGTCAGACTCAAATAAAGCAATCAACTCTTCTTATTTTTCAGAAACCCTTATTACCTCATCCTCAGCATAGCCCAGAGATTCCAGTTCTGTTAATAACTCTCTGGACTTCTCAAATAGGCCTCCTCTAACATATACCTTCAGTAGAGTTGTCAAAATGACCTGCAATTAATTTTTACAATATCAATAAAATTCAGAGAAGGATTGCTATAGAAAATAATGCTAGAAAAAAACACAGCAAATATATCAGGGATTTTTCTTTTCACTGAAAAAGTAAAGGAAGTCAATAGCAAATTTGGAAAGATGTCTATCTCTGTGGGGAATAGCCAAATATATGTTTATTAAAAATATTTACAATTCCTTCCTCTGCATATTATGAGTTGTGGCATGGAGAAAAAGACTGTCAAGCAAGCAAAAGTTCATATATATATATATATATATAGTAAACTTGATTTTTAGCTACATTGTTGTTGAAGTTCATTGTAATATTTCAAAGGCAAATCAAATTCAAATTAAGGTTTTAAGGTTTAGTAAGTTGCTACATACTCAGTCTGAAAAGGTAAATCAAATTTTAGAAGATTTGAGAAACTCAAAATGTAAGTCATTTTAAGAATGTTGTGAGCATTGAATGCTTACTTTCCAAATTTACCCCTAATGATGAGAGATCTTAAGAGATATCATTAATAAGATATTACAATTTAATAAGAGTAATTGTGGAAGATTGAGGTAGTTTTTGAAAAGTTCAAGATGTCTAACAAACTTTAAAAACCTTCATTGGTTTGTGTAACGTAGTTAAAAGTGACTTACATTTTAGGACAAATGGAGTGTTTTACTTCACCTGTATATGTATTAGTATCTCAACAGGCTTGTATATATTTTATACTTTTACATCTTTTGATTAGCCACCAGCTTTTGCTTACATAGCAGATAGATGGCAGATTTTCAATAGAGCAAAAAGGAAGGTAAATACAAGGACAAATGATATGGAATCCTGTAAAAGATCAATAACAAGAAAAACAAACCTTGTTAGGTACTAACCCTGCAGATGTCATATCTTGAACCAATTCATGAGCCTTTTTGTAGTCTCCAGAAACTGAATAAGCATTAAGCAAAGAGCTATAATGATAAACATTTGGAGAGAGGCCTTCATCCTTCATCTGCTTAAAATAGAATTCTGCTTCTTCCCATTTACTATTGGAAGCGCACACCGCAAGAATTGCCCCATAAATTACATCATCCATTCGCAGCCTTTTGAGTTTCAAGTCCTGAATGAGCTCCAGTGCTTTAGAATATCCATCTTTGACCCTAATGCAACCTGCCAGCAGCTAAGGATAACAGCAATGATAAGATAGCAACAAACAAAATAGAAATCATGAGTTAGTGGTGCAAATCTACAACCATTAAACACAATCAACATCTCCAGACTGTTTGCTACTTCACACAACAATGACTGATAAGCTTATTTATAGGCATGCGTACCAAAAACAAAACAAAAAAGATAAATACTTAACATGAAAAATAAATTGAGAATAATAAGTCAAATACATAAGACTTCAGATTTGTGCATGTTTCTATAGACCTAGAGATAGAGAAAGAGCATGAATAATACATCTGTAGTCTATGATATAGGTTCTATGGAAACAATATACGTTGTACTATCGAGTCTCTTCTAGTTGAGAGGATAGAAACTTGTAATCTATTCCATGCCTAGTAACTAATACACAGATGAGGGAAAATGAACTTGAAACAAAACTTTATCAAAAGATGATGGTAGAGGATCAACATATGACTCCACATATCACAAACAAGTTCATTTACACCAATACTATGACGGACTCTAAAGGTTTAGAATCACATACCGTACTATATGTAACAACATCAGGTATTAGACCATCTTCTTTCATCTTCTCAAACAGTTTTACACTGCTATCAAACTTGCCTTTCCGTATTAGAAAACTGAGAACAGAATTACATAGATACACATTGGTCTTGGCTACTTCATCATGAATGCTATTGTATATTCCCACAACCTTTGCAGCATCAAGATTATTCCCCATAAACCTCATGAAACTGATATAAGATAATGCATTCAGCTTCCTGTTTTCTTGCATCCATGCAAAGAGCTGCAATTATTGGACAAGGTATTAAAATTATGAAAAAATTACAGGAAGGGCAAATTACACTCTAGATGTAACCATGCATGTATGATTGGTCAGTGCATGTACATCACCACCTTTTCTATCTCATTTCCCATTTCTTGCTACTTCTTTTACTCTTGGGCAATATGTATCAAAGACAAATGATTATTTTCATTCCAAAAACCAATTTAAAGTAGTTAGATGATTTAAGGATCACTGACCGAGTATGTATCAAATACAATTTGGAAGTATAAGTACCTGAGAAATGTCTTGTAATCTGTTAAGCTGCCCAAAGTTACGTAAAATGGCATTTAGGTCTTGCACTTTCAATAGCTCTCCTGTTCTGAGAATCAAAATAACAGTGAGTTTAAGGAACAAAGCATAAGCTCGACTCACACAAAAAAGTAGCCAAGAGGCATGAGCTTCGCCATGATAGACATCACCATGCCGACCATACATTGAAAAAGAGGGGAAAAAGGATATACGCCACTACATTTTGCAAGTATCATTTCAATTCAATGCACTTAAAACACTGAAGCAATTGCTCATTGCCAAAGGAGGTCAAGCAACCAGCATGAATACAACCATATTTCTTAAAAAAAACAAAAGACAATGGCCATCTTAAAAAAATTGGAATGTAATTGTCCAGATATTTTATCACTTTTAAAAAATTAGATACTGTAAAATCATTTAAAAGTAAAAAGTAAAAACATACAGCTGGCTCGCTATGGCCTCCATCTTTGAGGATAATGAAATCAATAAAGCTTCCTTTATGTCTATATGCTTCCCTATCGTATGTAATACAATAACTAGCATCTTTCACTTTTTTCCGACGGTAAAATTTGATGTATCATCAATTCAGACATGCGTACTCATAGAAGAATAGAAGACATAACCAAAAACTAAAAATTAAAATGCATGACTTTAAAGTTTAATCAGTGTAATCAAATGCCAATCTCTACCGTATTTCCAGTCCCCCTTCCAACCATATTCAAAATACAGCTTAATTTGGAATAAAGAAAGCAAATTAAGAAATAGCCGTCGCTCAAATTTGCATGATGGACTTAAAAAGAAAAACAAAGAAAGCACTACCTAACGTCTTTAAAATCTTATTAAAAAAAAAAGTAATAAGCTCTCTGCAAAGATTAATTTAGTACAACTCCACCAAGTAAAAGTTTATGGTATAGAGTATAGAGATGCGCGCACTATAAGACAATCAACTCAACTCAACAAACCCTTCCATGTCCACTAATTTAGTATACCATTCTAACTTCTTGCCCGGATTCAAAAGAATAAACAGCAATTTATTCGTTGAAACCTATTTAAAAAGCCATTACTGAACCCCACATTGGATCACTCTATAATTTACACCACTCACCAAACTCAAGTAAAAGAAAAAGATACTCGTTCAAAAATTAATCCAGTGAAGACGCAGCACCATGACCTGCAACTCCCTTGCATAAGGTAGAAGTATAGTTAAATACCTCGCAAGAGTTGAGTCCAAATCACAAGACTGCTGGACTTCAACCATTGCAGCTTGTCTTGCTGTGCGGGGCTTTGAAGATCCCCTTTGAACTTCCATTGTGGTTCTACCACTGGGTAGTTCGCCATCGCTGGTTCGAGCTATTTCCCCAGTAAGCGCTGTTGATGATAAGCTACAGTGAAAACGAACTGTTCTTGTGGCGGAAGGAGATGAAGAAGAGTTTGATGCAGAAAATGGCGGACAACGAAAGGCTATAATACCATGCTGTAATCCAACTCCCAGGACTGATATCTCCATTTCCACCTCTCCTCCAAAGAGGCAGAGACACAGGATTGAGAGCGAGTTGCATTCGATCCAAGTCAAACTGCTCGCTGATAAGATCGAACTCTAAGCCGTTAGTGGGGCTGAATGAGGCCCAAATATTTTGAGTTGGGCTTGAAATTGGGCTTCGAAGCCCACAATAGTTTTCTAAGCCTAACTGAGCTTCACGAACTATCGATTTTTTTGTACCCAAAAATAATATCACCCAAAAGTAACATGTAGGATAATCCTTCAAGATGCATGATTGGAAAAATATGCATTTTTAAAATAGTACAAAAACCAAGTGCTACTTGGTTCAATTGGTCAAAAAAACTAAATCAACTTGTTATAAGGTTTTAAGTTTGAGTTTTAGAATATACAACCTCGTTAAATAAATATGTTAAAGCAACAAAAGGTAATAATAATCCTGCATGGCGAGGATATTTTCCAAGGTACCCAATGATAAAATAAAAAATAAAAAACAGTACAAAACAAGTTAATGACTTTATAGCCTAGTGACACATTGCTTGCCCTTGCTAGCGCCAGATCGCAAGTTGATCCTGCATCCTACTGCTTGTAATCAAAATAAAAGTACAAAACAATAAGGTAGGAGACAAGTAGCAGTATATCGTACTTGGCATGAAAAATTAGTATTTCTTAGTTTGGTCTTATATGTTACATTGATATTGATTTTGACACCCAATTAGGCGTTGCCCTCTGCAAGCAATCCCCACTTGTGCATAAACATAAACTTGAAATCCTTCGTTTAGTAGCACCATTATTTTTGATAATTCAAGGCAAAAGTAATGGATTATTAATACATATGATAGGATCAACACTTTTGTCAAAAACAAAGAATAGACGAGATTTGAAAGATATTTGAGAATTTGACAATTTTTTAAAGATTTGAAGAGAATTTGAAGATTTGCCAAATTGTTATATTTGATTCATTTTCTATTTTTATTAAATGTAAACATTCAAATAAATGCAATTCTTTATATCATTCTAGATTAAGTAAACTTCATTGAAATTTGTTTTTATTACTTGGGATTAGGGCTCTATGATACGCCCCAAAACTTCTTTATTGGTATAAATGAAATTACAAGTTTTAGTCGTCTCTGGGTGTTGAAGGAGTTACTTCATTTTTTTTTTCCAACTAATTTATGTAAATTACACCATATTGATTACATCTTATAATCACCCTTTAATTGCTTTGTCATTCTAATTTACTGAAAAGATAGCACAGAGACAACATTTTTTTAATACACGAAAATCTGCATGATGAGACAAAATAAATTAAATCGTCAGATATCATAGGGTGAGACAAGTATTATTTTTGAACAGCAAAGGATTCATGTCAGCGTAAATGCATATGGACTTGTTACGTTATTGTTGATCATTTAAAAAAACTACATGCCGTGCTAAATAATATTTTAGAGATTCTTTACCTACTTTTTCTTTCTTTTAATATTTGATATTGGTTCATATTTTTTTTTTTGGGGGGGGAGGGGGGGAGTGAATAATAATCATCTAACTATTTAGGGTGTGTCTGGTTTTTTCACTTTTTACATTCAAAAAGCTACTTTTCACTTTGAAGAAATTAAATATTGTTTGGGGATAATTCATAATAATAAAACTGACTTCTCAAATGTGCTTTTCGGATAGGCTGAAATGAAAAAATTTGAAAAACTCATATGAGTAGCTTTTGGAAAGTCAGTTGAAGGAAGATGCATTATTAATGATACCTATTATTTTAAAATGACTATGATACCCCTCCCCTCATGTTTGTCTTTTCCTCCTACTCAAGCTCGTGTGCATGTTTCAAAACCTATCTTCGTTCTCGCTTCTTTGTGTGTTGCTCGTCTCGTTTGCCTTACTCCTCCGTCAGTCCATCGTCTCTCCTCCATATCTCCAGTGACTCTAGTCCTTCTCTCCTTCGCCTCTCCCCACCATCTAGTAACATATTTGAGTCCATTCTTCTTTCCCTAAGCTTGTGATCTCGTTCTATCATCTTTCCTCACCATTCTAGTGGCCATTTTTTCATTTGTAGCTCACAAATCGAGCTTGTTCTAGGTCTTAGATGACATTGCAAAGCTAACAAACACGAAAACACCTGAGACCTATTAAATTGAACTCGGATGCTCGAAACTCGACTCGGATGCTCTGACCTCCTCCTCGATCTGCTCTTCTATCTAAAGGTATGATATCATCCAACCATTCTTTACTGGATCTAAAATGGTGGTCCTCTGTTTGGATGAATATATGAAAATATATGGCCTATATCTTCAATCGATGGTCGTCTGATTTTTTTCTCCAGATCCAATTATGCTCTATTTTGTTCCGTTGAAGGTAGTTCTGCTCTGTTTCACCTGTTTCTTCCGCTTGTATTGCTAATCCGAAACTTGAGAGCTTTGAGAGAATTTGAACATTGCAAATCTAAACGTTGAAGAAGCTAGTTTTGCTCTATGTGTATGTTTCGAACTTTTCTTATACTCAATGAATAGGAACCGGAACGTTGTGAATCTGAACATTAGTAGCTTGGTTCTGTTTTCAGCTCTTGCATTATTTAGTTCTGCTCTGTGTGTATGTTTCTAAATTTTCTTATAACCAATGATTGATTAATTATGGGTTTTGATCTCTTCTCCTGAGAACGTGTGTGTTTTAAAGTTTTCTTGTGCTCAATCAGTGGTGAATTATTATGAATTTTGATCCTTCTTTTGGAAATGTGTGATTGTGTGTGTGTTTCTAAGATTTCTTGCACTCAATCAGTGTTTAATTTTATGTGTTTATGTGTGTATTTCCAAGTTTGCTTTTGCTCAAACCAATGTTGAATTTTTTTGAGTTTTGATCCTTCTCTTGGAAATGTGTGATTGTGTGCGTGTCTATAAGATTTCTTGCACTCAATCAATCTCGAATTCTGTGTGTTTATGTGTGTATTTCAAATTTTTTTTTGCTCAAACCAATGTTGAATTATGGGTTTTGGTTTGGTTTCATAAATGAACATTAGATGGTTTTATTTAATTAATTAATAGTTGCTTTATTTCTATAATACCATGCTGTAATCCAACTCCCAGGACTGATATCTCCATTTCCACCTCTCCTCCAAAGAGGCAGAGGCACAGGATTGAGAGCGAGGTGCATTCGATCCAAGTCAAACTGCTCGCTGATAAGATCGAACTCTAAGCCGTTAGTGGGGCTGAATGAGGCCCAAATATTTTGAGTTGGGCTTGAAATTGGGCTTCGAAGCCCACATTAGTTTTCTAACCCTAACTGAGCTTCACGAACTATCGATTTTTTTTGTACCCAAAAATAATATCACCCAAAAGTAACATGTAGGATAATCCTTCAAGATGCATGATTGGAAAAATATGCATTTTTAAAATAGTACAAAAACCAAGTGCTGCTTGGTTCAATTGGTCAAAAAAACTAAATCAACTTGTTATAAGGTTTTAAGTTTGAGTTTTAGAATATACAACCTCGTTAAATAAATATGTTAAAGCAACAAAAGGTAATAATAATCCTGCATGGCGAGGATATTTTCAAGGTACCCAATGATAAAATAAAAAATAAAAAACAGTACAAAACAAGTTAATGACTTTATAGCCCAGTGACACATTGCTTGCCCTTGCTAGCGCCAGATCGCAAGTTGATCCTGCATCCTACTGCTTGTAATCAAAATAAAAGTACAAAACAATAAGGTAGGAGACAAGTAGCAGTATATCGTACTTGGCATGAAAAATTAGTATTTCTTAGTTTGGTCTTATATGTTACATTGATATTGATTTTGACACCCAATTAGGCGTTGCCCTCTGCAAGCAATCCCCACTTGTGCATAAACATAAACTTGAAATCCTTCGTTTAGTAGCACCATTATTTTTGATAATTCAAGGCAAAAGTAATGGATTATTAATACATATGATAGGATCAACACTTTTGTCAAAAACAAAGAATAGACGAGATTTGAAAGATATTTGAGAATTTGACAATTTTTTAAAGATTTGAAGAGAATTTGAAGATTTGCCAAATTGTTATATTTGATTCATTTTCTATTTTTATTAAATGTAAACATTCAAATAAATGCAATTCTTTATATCATTCTAGATTAAGTAAACTTCATTGAAATTTGTTTTTATTACTTGGGATTAGGGCTCTATGATACGCCCCAAAACTTCTTTATTGGTATAAATGAAATTACAAGTTTTAGTCGTCTCTGGGTGTTGAAGGAGTTACTTCATTTTTTTTTTCCAACTAATTTATGTAAATTACACCATATTGATTACATCTTATAATCACCCTTTAATTGCTTTGTCATTCTAATTTACTGAAAAGATAGCAGAGACAACATTTTTTTAATACACGAAAATCTGCATGATGAGACAAAATAAATTAAATCGTCAGATATCATAGGGTGAGACAAGTATTATTTTTGAACAGCAAAGGATTCATGTCAGCGTAAATGCATATGGACTTGTTACGTTATTGTTGATCATTTAAAAAAACTACATGCCGTGCTCAATAATATATTAGAGATTCTTTTACCTACTTTTTCTTTCTTTTGATATTTGATATTGGTTCAGACTTTTTTTTTTTTTGGGAGGGGGGGGGGACAAGTGGATAATAATCATCTGACTATTTAGTTTGCATGCAGAACTGTGAATTATACTGTCACATCTACTATTGATAATAGGGACTGAAGTTACAAAGTCCTTGCACGATAGCATTACACTTTCAGACTCATTTTTTTTATTATTACATATATATACACAAAAATCATGTCAATATAACCATTGTCTCTGGGCCAAAGTACATACATTGCTCTAAAGCCGAAGTCTCCAGGGAAGAAAACCACAGCAGAGACACAGCTGATTAACTCCCCACTTTCAACTGGTTTATTTAATATCTTCAACGGAAAAGAACAAAAACAGAATGTCATACTTACACTAAACCATGTGGCCTATGAGGTTTGAACATAAATCTTTTCCTCAGGAAGCAATGATTCAGTTTTGAGGCCAGTGAAAAGAGTAACGTGAGCCACAAGTACTGATAATGCATCATATTTATGCAGGAACCCGGTATGATGGATCAACCATTTTCAGTATGAACAAGTTTCCTTTGTCACCTCTTGATATCCTGTCATATGATGTAGGGGGAAAAACAATTAATACTTCAATTTGATATCTTCCATCCGGACTAAATTGTAAGACATTTTTTCCCAGTTTAAGTTTGATCAAAAATGTATGATACTTGATACTTTTCAAAATTACCCATTATATTAATTAATATAGGTGTGAGAGAGAAATATAATCCGACTACACCATTCTTCTCACTTTTCATAATTAAAGGGTTAAAGGCAAAAAAGAAAAGATGTCATTTTTTCATGGAAGGAAAAATCTACTTTTATTATCATGTGAAATATGGTTGGAAGTAGCTTAAAGTTGTTGGCCCATGCATTACAAAAATTTTTAAATGAGCTATACTATTCATATGACTTCCTAAGGATTTTATATTATATATTGATATTGATACTGATATTGATAATTGAAATATTGATGAGGGAGGATCATAGCTGTGGAATTTAAGAGTCAAGAATAATACTCTGACGTGAGTATTACTCAAGAATCTCACATCCATGTATAGGGATTAGTGCAACAAGTCCATCTTCTCGCATGAACATGATATCTCATAAGATTAAAAATTTAAAATCCCATCGATTCAAAGTGGAGATGAAACAAGGTGACCAAGGTTTAGTGTTTGTCTCTATATATAGGAGAATTCATGTTTCAAACAGAAGAACTTTTAACTCCTTCCACCTCAAGAGGTTTCTGACTTGTCAATGAATATATATTTCCATGGAAAAGAAACCTGGACGTGAATGAAATGTTGAAAATGTATTAAATAAAATATGGCACATAACTCACCGTAGCTCTTCATCTAAATATGTTATTTCTAATTCACCACGGGCTCTTCCAGGTGCCTTAACAGGTATCTGCATACGTACAGCATGACAACAGATATCATTAATAAAAATTCAACGTCAATACCAACATCAATCAATATTAAATCTATAGAGATCTACATCATTCACAAGTCATGAATAGTGTGACTCATCTCGAGCTTCGTGTAATTCTTTTTTATTCTTTCAATCTTTTTCCACACAGCTCAACAGAGTTGAAATTCTAGAAAAATAAACGCAATCCTCCAAAAAATTAAACTATCATCTGTCATTTGCGTCAAACAACGAAAAATATCTAGTTTTACTTAATACTAAATTTATGCATAGCATTCATCTGTATTAATCATTAGGGTTACAAATACCAAGATATACAAAAATTTAAACAGAGAATATTCAACTTGCTCTAAAAGAAGATAACACAATTTGTGCATGGGCTTCCTTTGAGCTTGTTCATTAATTAGCTAATAAATTTCACTCCTAAATAGTAGATACAGGATACAAAGTAACCATTGACACTCAAGAACACTTACAAAGCCCGCAATTTTGAAAGTATCAAATTGGACAGCCACTTTTTTTGCATTCAGAGGTGTTAAATCCGCTGTAACCTACAAAATATTATCTTTTTATTTTTTTAGAGAAATATGAAGGAACCGCATAAATTTGTAGCAACTATTCATCTTCAAAATGTCTCACCTGGTTAAAGAATGGCCAAGACTCCATATTTTGGGCCCTAAGAATATCTGCATTGATTGCTTGATAATTTGTCCTTGATCTCAAAATCTTTGGCCTCTGTCAATACATTAATTACGAAGTTAGTGCAATATTTGCATGCAAAAATCACTGTGACTTGAAAAAATAAGTGGAAAAATTCAAAAAGGAAGGCATCAGTGAAAGTAACAAGTTCTAACTTTCCTATCTATGCATAAAAGACAAGCCTTTGTGTGAATTTTCTTGCCTATTATATAACTATAACTCAGATTCAGGACATAGACAATGTTTACCTGGGTTTGCAAAATTGACCTTGAGGTAGTGTATATAAGCTCCCATTTTCCATCAAGTAGATTGGATTTCAGAGGCTCCTTTGTTGGATTAACTGCTTCAAGTTTGCGTGCAATCTATTTAGAAATAAATTCCAACTATCAAGAATAAAAATGCCATAATCGTGTGAAATTAATACCAATGCACTGGGAAATAATCATAGTCAAACTTTTTAAGATAATATAATTTAAGTTTAATAAATTTAATTAAACAATGAAATTTGAATAAAAAATACTACAATAAATAGAACTAAGCTAATGGCTTTCAACACGAGATAAAAAAACAGAGAATTAAAATTTCAGTGAATATATATTTTCTAATGAGCTATATTTTTAACAAAAGAAATCAATAATCAATATCAATAATATTTTTAACACCCAACTACATCAGCTGATTCTCAGTGAGAGTGTGAAACTTCTCGCTAATCTCTCTCTCCTTCTGTTAAGGTACTTTCTGTTTCGGGCAGAACTTTGGCATTTGGCAAAATTATTGAAACAACCAAGTGAAAGAGCATTGTTTATTACTGCCTGCCAACTACCCTGTGAAAGTGGCCAAATCATGAGAGATGACAAAATGTAGATTGATAGAAACGTCATTTTAAGAATTTAATTTTTGTTTTAATGAAAGAATTTAAAACTTGCATTAATAAAGAGTTTATTGCGATATTTCAATTTTGAGGATTATGCTGTTATTTCTCATATTTAGTTTATCAACAAAAGGATTCTTGTGACTTCTAACTAATGGTTGGCATAACATGCTGCTACTGTGACTCCATCCTAAGAAGAGAAAAACCTTCCATCTTCCAGAATCCAGAGGATCAACAAAATTAGAAATTCACAGTGAAGAACTATGTCCAAGTTAGTAGAAATTTCCACAATAGATGGACCCTAAACGAAACCCACCTGATCAACTCTTTGCTGGTCTTCAGGGGTAGCATCAGCCCCTCGATCTAGCGGCGCAATGGCCTCGAGAAGCTCGTCCTTGAGATCCTCAGCGTCTTTGCCCTTTTTCAAGAAAGCGGGAAAGAAGGAGACTCTTGTTCTCCATTTTTGCGATGCTGAAGAAGAAGCCCTCGAGATGGAGCCATAATGGCTGGTTTCGTTGTCACAGAAGCGAGGGGTCGCAGGAGAAGGTTCTGAATGGAAATGGAGATATTTTGGGGGCAAATTGTCGAGTGGAATGGGGTTGAGAACGGGAAGAACCAGAGGAGAGGATAAGGCCATTGATATTGCGATCTTGGCGACACTTGGTTATTAATTAATTATAGGAAACTGCAATCAAGTAATTATAAATATTGCACTTGTTAAACTTAAAAGACACGTGAGGAACAAGCTTACCGTCCATAGGGCAAGGCAATCCACGACTTTCTTTTTTTGCCGACAATCCACGACTTTCAAGACAATTCACTTGAATTGCGTTTGCATGAGTAAATTTAGTTTGAAAATTAAAATTTGTAATTCCACGTTAAAATTTATAAATTTTAAATTTTTTATATGAATGATATAAAACATTTTAAATTATAATATTGAAATAATTTGTTTAGAATTTAAATAAAATTTTAAATTCTATATTTAAATTTAAATGCAACTTAAATGTTGGAGATATAGTTATAATTAAAGTTGGCAGTCCGATTCCAATCAAGGGTGATGACTAGGTCTTGGTCGACTCCAACTGTCCAAACTCGGATGACATTAATGATCTATTCTCAATCAACAACATTAGTCTAGTCTTAGTTGACATTCGCAGTTTGATCCCAATTAACACTTAAGGAGTAACATTGGACAATTACAGTAGTCTGAGGGTGGGTTGCAGATTGGACCTAGATGACGACATCATAACATTCATTGTTAACAGTGACATATGGCATTGGACAACAAAGGTGAAAGGATCAAAGATGGTAACCATAGACTAGTCCCAGATGGCGATGGTGGCAACAAATTGACAAAGGTTGGATGCAACTACCAAAACCAAGCAATGGTAGCAGACCTACACTAGACGACGGTGTTAGAACAACATCGAACGACGATGACAATGATGACAAATCGGCATCGGGTGATGGAGGAGGCTAGTCTTGATAGACGATGGCGATCTGATCCTAATCAACACTAGCGATCTTGTCACAGTTGTTATCGACAGCCCAGTTATGGTCAAAGCAGGTAGTCTAGTCATGGTCAAAGCCGGTCGTCTAGTCTTGCTCGCCCCGAGCTGTTCTATCCTAATCCTTTGTTGTCATCTCATCTTGATCGAAGGCAGCAGTTCGATCTTAGTAAGCATCGACCATTAGGTCTAGGTCAACCCATGAAGGTTCGAACCTAGACACTGTTAGTAGTCTTATCCCTTTCTAAAAGTTTCTAAGGAGAAAAGCATACCTGTTGAGTTGGCCAAGCACTATACCATATGCGAGAATGAAATTATAGACCGAACTTGATTCTTAGACTCACAGCAAATGCACAGACGAAAGAGAAGGATTTCTTTTCAAGTGGGAAGAGTATGAGAGTCTTTTCTGTTTTGTGTGTATTGAACGAAAAGCCAGAAAATGCTCAGTTCTATATGCTTCAACTGACCCCTTACATGAACGCTTTCCACGGACGTGGAGGTTATACCGAAACCATTCCCTCCAAATAATCAATTGAATAATAAGGATATTTGTGTATAAAGGCCTAAAGCATATTATACTTAAGGATCCAAACCCTTTCATATTCGCGGTAAAACCCTATGGGCTTATATTTTGGGTCAATCCACCAAAGATGGATAATCCAACATCTTCCACTCATACTTAGTGGATAAGATATCATAGGTCTTTCTCTTTCTTCTTTCATATGAGGTGTTTTGCATGACCGCATAGGCTTGATGTCTTCATTTTGGGTGTTCGTACTAGGAATCATATTAAGGACTAGTGCAAATAACCTTATAGTTGAATTTATTCTTTATTGAATTTGTGCTTTAATGTCCTAGATTTACCAATATACACTTTTCTCATTATGACTAATCTTATCCCTCTTGAGTCAGTCTAAGACTCAGACAGTCTCTCTTATATACGCAGTATCCACACTTATGAATCAACAAATTGTTTCATAAGGGACATGTCTTGAATATGAACATAGACATGTATATTTAAGATAATCTTCCTTTCACCCATATGCCACTTTGATAGGAGACAGTCACTTTCCTAACATGATACCTTTAGGTCGCATCAATCATGACCATAGGATGTATGTTAAAGTAGCAAACACTGTAACATATCTCCATGATAATGTCAAAGTTAAAGGATATCATTGAGAGGATTTTTCTTTTCTGGGACTCACACAGCAATGAAGTAGGAATTTATTTACTTGTTTCTCATTGTGATTCTTAGGCACATGTGGTATAAAACACATGTTACATTGTTATTCTTACTTGTAAGAGCGTACGTCATTTTCATTTATTATTAACACCATACAAACTTAAGTTTAGATACTCACTGTACCTAAACTCAAATTCTTCTTTTCTATTGATCTTGTATGATGTCAATTTAGAAGAATTTATTGTTTAGCTATAAGTATCATGGATATGGGAATCCATAAATCGATCTAAGTATACTTATGGATCTCACCTTGACTTGCTCTTTGATCGAGACGACATATGATTTATGTTTCTTCTCTACCATATCAACATTTTTGTTGCCTTACTAGTGAACATAAATGTCTCATCTTTGATTTGAATGTCAAAGGCAGTTGCTCGTGTGAGAGAGTCAACCTTATCAACCTATACGACATAGTAGACATTGTATATTCTCAAGTGTACATATATGGAAGTAATGAAAATTCTCATTAATATAACCAAAATATTACATCAAGTTTGTCCTTTTATAATCTAGCCATGCTAAGAGCCCTTACATGTTTCTCAAATATCTCATTAGCTCTGGGTTTTGTTAAGGTATCTACTATCATATACTTCGTGGAACTGTATTGAATAATGATAACATTTTGTGCTATATAATCCCTTATAAAATTATACTTGATATCTATGTATTTGGTTTTGCTGTGGTACTTAAGATCTTTAGTGTAGGCTATGGCTGTAGTGTTGTCACAATAAATTAACACTAAATTTGTACTTTCATTTTCAAACCCAAGATGTTTTGAAAATCTCTTTAGCCATATAGCCTCTTACATTACTACAGTACATGCTATAAACTCAGCTTCTATAGAATGTAAGGCAATGCATGTTTGCTTCTTGCTACTCTAACAAATGGCCACATTATTTAGCAAGAAAGTGTAGCCTAAAGTCGATCTTCGTTCATCTTCATCTCTGCCTAAATCTGCATCGGAGTATCCTATCAGACATAGATCACTACCTTGATAACACAGTGCATAGTCAACAGTACCCTTTAAGTATTTTAAGATCCTCTTTATAGCCTTCCAATGTCCTTCATCAGGGTTGGATTGGTAGCGACTCACAAGTCCTACGGCATAATAGATATTTATTCTTGTATACATCATTATGTACATCAAATTTCCGACTGCACTGGCATATGGAACTCTTTCAATTTTCTTTTAGGCTATCTTAGTTTTAGAACCCATATCAGGACTAAACTTCATATCTGAAGCTACTAGGGTATCCATGGGTTTATAGTCTTTCATATTAAAATGTTCAAGAATTTTTCGTATACAATTCTCTTATGAAAGAGAAAAGAGCTTCTTAGAGCGATTTCTTTAGATTTTAACTCCAAAAATTTATTTTGCTTCACCATGTCTTCCATTTCAAAATTTGATGAAAGCCATTCTTTAATAGCGATTATCGAATCCAAATTATTTTCGGCTAATAGAATATCATTCACATAAAGAGATAATATTACGAAGTTCTTATTGAATCTCTTGATGTAAACACAGTGGTCTTCCTTAATCATTTGGAAGTCATATAAAGTTATTGCTCTGTGAAACCTTAAATACCACTGTCTGGATGATTGTTTTAGAAATTGATTTATTTAATTTACATACTTTATCTTCTTTTCCTTTTTCAATGAAACCTAATGGTTGTTGTATGTAAATTTCTTTATCTAGATCTCCATTTAAAAAAGCAATTTTTACATCCATCTGGTGTAATTCTAAGTCCAAACTATTTACTATTGCTAGAATCAGTCTGATAGAATTGAAGCATACAATAGGAGAAAATGTATCCTCATAATATATTCCCTCTTGTTGTGTATACCCTTTTGCTACAAAGCAAGCTTTGTATTTATCTATTGATCCATCCACTTTTCTTTTGATTTTAAGAACTTACTTGTTCCTAATAGCCTTTCGGCCACGTGGTAAATTAACTAATTTCCATACTTGGCTGGTCCTTATGAAATCTATTTCTTCATCCATTGCTTTCTTCCATTTATCCTTAGCAGGTCCGGATAAAGCTTCATTTACAAAACGTGGCTCATCATCATCTAGAAGAGTTACCATCAACGCTTCACCCTCAATTTAAAAGCATCTTTTTTGGCACACTTTCTCTATTAATTTTTCGAAGTGGGGTCTCTTGTGAATTTTGATTCTTTTTGGGTCTTCTGGCAGACCTTTAGGAACTTCCACTTAGACTAGCATTTTGTGATGATTCAGGCCTATCTATTTATTCTAAATTATGTTGCTCCTATGTCTCATAAAGAGATATAGTTACATCAACTTTTCCCCTGCTAGGAAACTCATTTACTAAAAATATGATATTCCTATATTCAAATTCAATTATAGTTCTATCATCATTTTCACTAATGAAAACATAACCCTTTGATTACTCAGAATATCTTATAAAGATACATTTATTTCCTCTTAGACCTAATTTTTCATATTTATAGAAATCATTATAGATATATTAAGCTAACCCCTATGATCTTAGGATATTTAAATTTAGTTTGCATTTTATCCATAACTCATAAGGTGTGGAAGTAATTGATTTTAAGGTCGCACAATTAAGTTTGAAGACTGCAATCAGTAAAGCGTCCCCCCAATGAGATTGGAAGATTTGCTTGTGCCATCATCAACCTAACCATATCTAGAAGAGTCCTATTTCTTCTTTCAGCAACTCCATTCTGTTGTGGAGTGTCAGGAATAATTAGTTATCTAATTATTATTTTTTCTTTAGAGTTCTTTAAATTAATCAGATAAATATTCATGTCCTTGGTTAGTTTGCAATGCTTTAATTTTACTATCCGTTTGATTTTTAACCTCATTAATGTATCGTCTAAAAGCACTCAAGAGTTTCAGACTTTTGTGATATCATATAAACATGACCAAAACATGAAAAATCATTGATAAAGGTAATAAAATACCAAGCTTCATGTTTTTCCCTTATACTTATAGGACCACAAATATTAAAATGGATTAATTGCAATAGATTTTCAGCCCTGACACCTTTATTGAAAGGTTTCCTCGTTGCTTTATTAGTTAGACAATTTTCATACAAGGATATTTCCATGTTTGTAATTGGACCTCGCATTCTTTCTTTAGCTAGTTTAATTATTCTATTTTGATTAACATGCCCTAATCTAGTATGCCATATATCCATATCAACATTATTGGAAGAAGTAGTAAAACAATCATGAAAGTAAACTTTATCAACAATATCCATAATAGAGAACATTTTCGAAAGAAAAAAAACCATAAAAGGTTGAATTGTACATAATGTTAGCAACCTTGTCATGAAAATTAATTACAAACTCAAATACTAAAAGTCAAGCAATTGAAATTAAGTTTTGTCGGATGTCCAGTGTATGTAAAACATCATGGAGAATTAAGGTTTTTCCACCTCGCAAGATTAACTTGCAAGTTCCTATGCCTTTTACCTCAATCCTCGTGTTGTTACCAATGTAAAGCCACTTGCTTTGATCCAGCAATCGACGGTACTTTACAAAAGATCCATGATCCTTGCTTACATGGTCTATAGAGCCTAAGTCTACAATCTAAGAAGAGAAAACAATTTTCGTTAGAAAAATATTACTGGAAACATAAGAAAAATGTGAATTCATATAATTCACAAGTACCTGATCACATTTACTTTGCTTAGGACAATCCTTTGCAAAATGGCCCATCTTTTGACAGTAAAACATTTGACGTTTCTAAGATTAATTCTCTTTCTGTTGCTCTTCTTTCCCTTTTTCTTGAAAGGTTGTTTATCCTTCTTTACTTTAGGGCCACTCTTGTTACCTTTCTTTTGTTGCTTTTTGCCCCTCTTGGGCTTAGCATTTGAAGGACCACCTTTCTTGACAAGGTAAGCTTGTCCAGATAACTTGTAAGCCTCTAGACATTTAGTCTCTAGCTTTAGGTGCTTAGCCATATCGTTAAAGTTAATAATGTTTTCATTGTGGGTTAACTATCATATGCTCCCAGGTGGTTGGAAGCGATCTAATTACAACTTGTACTTGCTATTCATCAGATAGATCATGCTCGATTTCTTTAAGTTCATGGATCATGTTGGCCATCTCCCTAAGGTGCTGCCACATAGTAGTATTCGGCTTTAGTTTTTAAGTGTCGAACTTAATTGTAAGCCTTCTAGTTTATTGGTTGAGGTACCATCAAATTTTCCTTTTAATGCAACCCACATGGCCTGGGTAGTGGAGTGCTTCTCAAATTCACACATCAGATCATCTACTATAACACTTAAAAGTGTTATTCATGCGATGCTATTCTTTTGTTCCATGCCGCAAATGCCTTTTGGTCTCTCCGATGCTGAGCCGAGTTTCTTACCTCAGGCTCGACCATGACCACAATCAATAACTCAATAGCATTTTGTTCTTTCAAAATGTATGACACCTTGCAGTGCTAAATATCTTAGTCATCCATATTTAATTTGTCGCTCTTATTCAATTTAGTGATAATGTTTTTTGTTGCCATTCTTAGTTCTGAGACAAAACTATCCTACATTAATAGTTTTCTATATTAAACCAAGAATAAAATATTTATGAAAAACATACAATATCTTATATTTGTATGATTCTTTATTAGAGTGATAACAACTCTATTAGGTTAATGATCAAGAGGCTACGTTTGTACCTCTCATCACATTGATTCTAACAAAATCATTATTGTCTATAAAGAATTTTACAAATATTTTTTATAATTGTTATATATAGCTCTTAAATGACTTATTACTTTAGAGCTCCCACTCAAACAAAGTATATATAAAGAGTAAAAAAATAAAACAACATGCTTTATATGTATCATAAATCAACATTAACTTAACTAAAAAAAATTCTTGAAAAACAAAAAAATACTTAAGGTACAGACCTAAAAAAGATAAATCTTAATTATATTTTTATATTTTTTTTGTACTTTCATCCCCTTGATGGCTCTATTCCATAGAGGATTTTTCGAGTATGACTTGTTTTACTTGTTATGTTGCACAAGTTCTTTCTCAAGTTGTTTGAAAATTTCTCCTACAACCATGCCTTGTTTTTCTTTTGTTATGAAGTTTGAATATGCTCTTATTATTGGAGAAATTTGATTCGGTTTTTTAATTCTTTAAGCTTCTCTTTTTGCTATATTTATGATCACTGAGAGTGTGAAAGGATGTTCCATATCTTAATCTTCATCTTGAAGATTCTCATCACCCTTTAATTTATATTTTGGTCTCGGCAACATGCACACCTCTTTAGGCCTTTTTAGCACATTTTTGAGATCAACATTAGGATTCTCTTCAAGATCAGAATCAAAATCCTCACTCTGATGTTGATACTCTTCCTTCTTCTCTTCGAAGGATTTTGGGTCGGAATTCTCACTAAGAGGCTCATAATTTGGTTCATCCAAATACTCAACACTAATAAAATTATTTTGTGAATTATCAGTGTTGCTAGAAGCCCCTTGCTTCATATTTGCCTAAAAAAATAAAAAAATAAAAAAATTTTCTATTAAACTCATAAAATGCACTAGATAATTCAAAAAATAAATTCTTGTTTTGTCTCTAAAATAGGTGAATTATATATCAAAATAAAGATTTCAAATTTAAGAATTTTTCAAGACAAACTGTGTCCCAATATGGTCCTGCATGTGCCCCAAGAACAATTCTAGATTAAGAAATTTTGAAAAAAATAAAAAAAAGAATATTTCACCCTCAGAAGAGGCACATGCACCACACATGCCACCTTATCATGTTTAATAGTGACACATGTCGGTCTGTTGTGCTCCACGTGCCGGCAATTTTTGAATGGAGTTGACCACACGCTGATGGAGGATCCCATTGGGTCCCATGTACCACGTGTCCAAATATATATATATATATATATATATTAAAATTCAAATTATATATATATATTTAATTTTTATTTATTTAATTAATTTTTTTGATTTGGGTCGGGTTTTCTGTACCCGACACGTGGACCCACACCCAAAACAAACAAATCATCATATGTTCTTCAAATACAGGAAATGTAGCCCAAAAAAATGATTACTTGGATACCAATATAAGATTTTGAGGAGGAAAGCATACTTGTTGAGTTGGTCGAGCACTATACCGTATACGGGAATGAAATTACAAATCGAACTCGGTTCTTAGACTCACAACAAATGCACAGACGAAAGAGAAGGATTTCTTTTCAAGTAGGAAGCATATGAGAGCCTTTTTTGTTTTGTGTGTATCAAACCAAAAGCTAAAAAATGCTTAGTTTTATATGCTTTAACTAACCCCTTACATGAATGCTTTTCATGAATGTGGAGGTTATATTGAAACTGTTCCCTCTAAATAATCAATTGAATAACAAGGATATTTGCGTATAAAGGCTCGGAGCATATTATACTTAAGGACCTAAACCCTTTCGTATTCACGGTAAAGCCCTATAGGCTTATATGTTGGGCCAATCCACTAAAGGTAGATAACCCAATACTTTCAATGTTGGTAGTTCAATCCTAGTTAGTGTCATCTATGTGATCCAAGTCAAAGTCAACTATCCAATCTTGGTCGACCTTGATTGTCCAATTCCTGTCATCATCAATTGTCAGGTCCTGGTCAATATCGATATTGGTATTTCGGTCATTGCTTGTGATGTCAATGGATATTGGCCAGAGGCAATGATATCAACGTTGAGAAGGTGGTGAAGTCAACTAATGAACGTAAAGGAAGAGAGAAACTTCCAATATAATCAAGAAATAATTTGAAATTATAAAAGAATTGAGATAGGATCTGGATTTTGATTTAATTTAAATTCAAATCCAAACATTTTTCATTACTCAAATAATGAATTTAGTTCAAATTCAAATCCATGCGCATCAAAACATCACATTGAAGTATTTGGATTTATTTCTATAAAACCATGTTTTGTTTTTTAAAATTGATCAATTTGATTATCCAAATTCTAAACATACACTATTATTTTATTGTTATTTTTTTTAATCCACACATCCTGCGCCTATTAAAATTTGTTTGCCTTTACTGTTTTAGGCTCTTTCACACTTTGACTATGTAATGCAAGTAATCAATCTAGACTTTGAGGTCACCTTGGTTGATATCATTATTAAATAAATAAATTCATATAATAACAACACACATAAATTTTGGCCATGTACATAAATTTTTTTTTTGGAACAATTATATTAAAATCCTACACAAGAGAATTAATTACTATAAGATTCATTGATAAAATTCAGTTTAGTTCAGTTATCAATAGATCTTGTAGTAATTAATTTTTTTATGTGATACCTAATTATAGTTCTTCCTTTTTTATAATCTGTATGTATGCACATACATACATATATACATGTCCATAGGTTGGCATGGTCATATCAACGTGACTGTATATTTAGCACGTGTGAAGCCGCCGAGGCAGCCGCGTGGCTCACCACACGAAGGTCCAAGACTGGAGTTGCAAAGTGAATGATAAATGTGGCAATTTGCGAAGAAAGCCATGGCAAAAGCATCTACGCAAGTCCTTGTCACTTTTCCTCGGTACTTATCTTCTTCTCCACTGCGACCTCTGGAGTGTCTTGTCCGACAGTGTTGTTTGTTTTTTTAATTTTTGTTTTGATGATTGATCTTTCCGTTTGAGTTCCTGGCTAGAATCCTGAAATCCCAGAAAGAAAAAATACGTAAAGATGGGGCCTAAGCTTCCTTTGACCCACTTGAGAATATCGCCTGCCTCTAATTGTTATGTGATTTCTTACGACAAGGGAGAGTTATGTAAATACAAATTCCCTGCAAGAATAGTTTCAGAGCAGAAGTTCCCGTTCAAGTTCGTACGACAATCTCTGGGGGATAGGTGGAACCTGAATGATATAAGCGCTGGTATCAGATTTCCTTCTTCATCTGAATTTTTGTTTTGAAGTATATTTGCTAGAATTACGGTTGTGTAATATTGTGATCATACGTTATCATAAAATGTTCAGAAAGTAAATTCGTAGTCTCTTAGCTCATACATGTTACTTGTCAACTCATTTTGATAGTTTCCTAGTTCCCAGTGTTCATTGTTCCTGATATGTACTTTGAAAATAAATCAAGAATAATCAGTTAGTTAGTTACTCTTGGAAATTGGAATAAATGATAGGGAACCTAATTGTAAATCGAAGGCTATGTTTTCGGATATAATCAGAGTAATATTCAGATTCTTCTATTCTCTCTTCTTCTTCTCTCTCTTTCTCTTCTCTGTCTCTCTTTATCCTCTTTTCCTCTATCTTTTCCTATGCACCAGTTCCATTGCAGCAAAGAGCGCAAGGGCCCTCCCATTGGTGGCGAGTAATGTTTCAACTTTGGACTAGAGTTGGTGGAAGTTTCTTAGCTATTTGCCATTAGGATCTTCTATTAAATTATGACAGGTGGATTTTTTTTTTTAAAAGATCCGATCATTTAATGACATAAAAGTCCACTTATTATGTTTTTATTAGTAAACTTGATAACAAAGATATGCAAGTTGTACTCAAGTTTTCTTCTCTCGTCTCAACCATAAGCATGTGGTATTGGATCAATGACGGAGCTAATTGATGAGAGAAACACGCATCGCTGACAAAGAAACTGACTAGAATGTAGTTAAAGACTAGGAAATCAATCACTTGGTAGCCGTTTTAATGGGATGCTTTATTTGAACAAAAATAAAAGGAAAATGCTACTGCAATAATAGTCGTCCTGCTTGGGCTTGGTCATTTGCATTGAACTACCAAACTCCCACTTGTATTCTCGAAGAGGCAAGTGCCAGCTGATCAGGCGACTATTTTTTTCCCTTCTTTATTGGTTACATATACTTTTCACTTTTCTAACTGTTGGTGAAAACCTTATTACTTGCGCCATCCATTTCTCAACTGAATTTATCAATCAGCAAGCACTGACAATTGTCAAGCAATCATGACATGGACGTGCTCGATTATTTTTCTTCTTGAAGTCTGGGTTTTTCCATCAGACTATTATTATTATGCATTAATATATTCACCACACGCCCTATTTTTGGCTGTTCTCTAATTTTAAACTTCATTTCTCTTGAAAGGCTCAATCCAAGAAAGAATGAATATATGGCTATCGAAGACCCAAGACTTTTTGAATGAAGTGTCTTCCCCGCTTGCAAAATCTGGTCAAAATAGAAAGTCTGCTCCTAAAGATGATCTTGGATTTCAAGTTATGGAAGACATATTTATGGTAGAGCAGACCATAGACCGCAGAACAGAAAATGGCATTCTTTCTCTAGCTGCTGTTACATGTATTGAGCAATTTAGCAGGTGAATGCATGCGCTACATTTTTATCTTAGGTAATACCTTTATGTGTTAGTCCTTGAGAAAATGTTTAGGCTGGATTATGTATCGACAAATTCAAGACTAAGCAGTAAATTACTAAATGCTGCATGACACAGGAACTCACCCTTGGAACGTGCATACAAAATTACAGCATACTCTCCAAGAGTACGGTGGAAAAGCAAAATAAAAAGAAAAGAATATTGGAATTTGTTATCCTAGTTTCTATCATTGATATCCTGGTGATTTTTCGTATTTGTCTTTCTCCCATATTCACATAAATTTCTTTTCTTTCAAAATTAACATATCTGTCAGATTATGTGAACCAAAAATAAGTTGTGAGATTGAATTAAATGATTTGTTTCCCCCCAAAATTTTCATGGGAATAGATTTTCCAAGTACTACTGTCAGTTGGAGAAATTAATTTTTGTGGAAAATTGAAGCATTGGAAGATCCTTTGATCTGTTAATTCCGAGAGCATTTCACTTTTAAATTTTCTATTTATGTTTCCTTGACATAATTCAATACATTCTGCTTATTAATGAAGTTTGCCTTGTGAAAAGGACTGCATCTCTAACGTAATATTCTATTTTCTTCTTAGTGTATGCCTATCAAATTGATACAAAAATTATTATTTGACTTTTTTTTAATAAGATATGCAGGATGAATGGGCTGACTGGGAGGAAAATGCAGAAAATTTATGAAGCTCTTGTTCCTGATTCAGTATACAGAGATGCCCGTAATTTGGTTGAATATTGCTGCTTTAGGTTCTTGTCAAGGGATAGCTCTCATGTTCATCCTTCCCTAAAGGTACAGTATAATCTACGTAGTGATGTGGAAATTTTTAATATTCTGTTTTGAATAGTACAAGGGGGAACATTTGGAAGTTATTTCAAGGGGAAAATAGTAAGATTTCAGTGTAGAGAGAGAGAGAGAGAGAATAGAGCTTGAAAGAGGATAAGATATCCTCAATTGGGTGTTTCGTTTCATCTCTCATTACAAACATGGGGAAGCATATTTTGTTTATTTTATTCTATTTTTTCTTCCTGAAAGGTCTAGATTTCAATGCGTGCCTAATGATATTTGTTGTTTCTCTGTTGCTGTATATTGTATCTCTTCAATGCAACTTCTTTCTCTCATCAATCTCTCTTCTTTTCTCTTCCTGCTCTAGTAAAAATATCATTAGGCTTTATTTCAGATCAGCGATGACTCATATCAGTAAGTAATACGAGGTTTGTTACCCTTTTGGGTTAGACTTGGTAGATATTGAATTCATATATGATGTTCTGATTGAGGGGAGGCATGGATTTTTTTCATCAGATTCCATCTCACCATTGATGAAGATGCCTCAAACTAATCAGGCATCTGGTTAGCAACAGTGAGTCTTGGTAGTATATAGTTGTGCTTATTCATCTCCAGCCTCCTTGCCAGCTGAAGAAGCCCATGTGAGACTCCCCATTCTTTGATAGCCAACCATAGCCATGCCCTCCTCTTGTTTGAGGAGGTTGTGCTCAAAATCCTTTGCAATTTTTATGATCAAGATTTGTCTTAGATTTTGTTATAATGTTATGAGATGCATTGGTTTAGTCACTAGTCTTTGTTGTGCTTATGAGATGCATTTGTCTTAGATTCACCCTTATCAGGTTTGTGCACTTTCTGCCATTATGTTAAAGACAGTATGCAAATCTCACTTGGATTGATCATTAGATTTTACTGTTTACTTGTCTTTGTGTTGTTTTACCTTCAGGATGTAGATTAAATATATAATTTTAACTGGTGGTGAGCATTCTCTCTCTTTCTCTCACGTGCAGGCCTAATTTAATTGACATAAAACTTTATTCATGTTTGCAGGAACCTGCTTTCCAGAGGCTTGTATTCATAACCATGCTTGCATGGGAAAATCCTTACAGTGATGAGCTTTCAAGTATCTCAGAGAAGGCTTCTTTCCAGGTCATTTCTTTTCTTTATCAATTCAACCAATGTTAGAAAATATATTATGTTCTTCTAGTTGCTTATGGAAGATATTAGGAAAAATTTGGCTCACCTGAAGCTCAGGCGGCACTTCAGAGAATAAAGTGCCAGTGGATAGCCATTGATGAGGAACTTATGCAATGTTTGGTAGGTAGAAAAGTGTTTTCTAGAAGGAAATGGAAAATACACCTATTCTAGGTACATCTCTCATTTCCTTTCTAGAAAATATTTTCCATGTACCAAACATGTTTTTGAGGAAGTATGTTTCCACAGATTAACATGTTACTGTCAGGCCTCTTGTTTGTTATATGTTTTTATATGATTAATTTGTCATCATGGTCGATCTAGCCCATATTATGTGAGCTTTCTATAGAGGATCTGTTTCATGTTAGGAGACATAATACTTCAATTTGAAGTCTCCCATGCTTTGATTTTACTTACTTGACTTAATGTTGGACTTTCAAGGATGGTAAACACAATCCATTGGACTGAATGTCACTCCTACTAAAGTTCATTTTCTCCCCTAACTCTATTCATGCCTGCATTTTTGCTTTTTCCTTTGGCAATCTGTTTCTTTATTTTATGCAATTTTTTAGACTCTCTCTCTGCGAAGGAGAGAGAGAGAATGCATTTTGAAACTTTTTATATTGAAGTTATCAAAAGATGAATCAGCCGTAGACTGCAGTAGGCATTGACTGAGAATTAGCATGTATAGGATAGAAAGAAAATTTGGTAGTAAGATAGCTCAGCCGAATTATTGTATGAATTTAATCATTGATATCTTGTTTAGAAATTTTGGACCAGGTTTTCTCATATTTTATTAGATTTTTTTTTTGGTCATAGTTGTTTTATGTGATGATTTAGAGAGAAAGTGAGAGAGAACTTTGGATAATAATTTCTTATTGGCTCTGCAGAGTAAGCTCGTCACGGAAGAGGCTTTTGTTCATATTGCTCCTGCTGTCGCTGGTGTGGTTGACCGCCCCACAGCACACAATCTATTCAAGGCTCTAGCCGGTGATGAAAGGGGGATCTCTTTGGGCTTGTGGCTGACTTACATTAACGAACTTGTCAAGTGAGTTTAATCTTTTGGTTGGAGATATGATAAATCTATTGAGAAGACATGCGAGCAACATGTGGTTCTGATCACACAAGTTATAGGAAGATAAATGGACTAAGAAATTACCAATGTCAAGCTCACCTAGTGCAGTAGGCACTCTGTATTTGGATCTGGTTAGTTATGGTCATTAAACTGAAAAAAAATGGAATCTCTTTTCTCTTCCTTAGATGACCTTTTTTGTCATGAAAGGAATTTCAAAACTATGTCCCTTTTTATTACATATGGTGGATGCTCCTTCTCTTCTAGTTTGTTCTTTTGTTTGTTCCTCTGAACTTCTTGTAATCATGTCACTTCAGACAGCTTTCCTTGTTATTCAATTTTAGATCTAGTACACTGAATGTTCATGCCAGAGATATCTGCTTGTCAGGCACATCTTTTGTTAAAAGATGACAGGAATTTTTACTTGCATTGTCTTTAATGGCTTGTTCCATCCACATGGTTGCTTGATTCTGTTGGTATGCTCTTTAAAAGATATAAACAAGCACTTACTCCAGCACTAGTATGCTCAACTTATACTGAGGTTTCTGTAGAGTGTATGAAGGACCCAAGTCGTATCATATCCCAGAGTTTCCTCAACTTTCTGAGGAGAGAATTCTATGCATTGGTTCCAACAGGAAAAGGCCTGTATTGAAATGGGAGAAGAATATGGCATGGCCTGGCAAGCTCACTCTTACCGATAAAGCCATCTACTTTGAGGTATTTCATAATTTCCTGAGATGCTCATATGATAGTTTTTCATAGACTTTGATATTTGCATGATTACATCCTTTAAAATATGTAAGCTATGAAATACTCTGATCTATTTCTTTGGCTATTGCCACAATTTTTTACGAGGTCATCATCTTACCATTGAACGGAAGGGATCTCAAAGGAAAGATGTCCTACGATTAGTTTTGTTGTATGTCATGGCACAGAAAGTTAAATTTTAACAGGAACAGAGTTGAATTCTGTGATAGCCCAAAATATTTCTGACTAGTTACATGCTTGGCTTCATGCCATGATTTTCCCCTTTTCCTATATGGCTCTTCTTAAGTTTCGGGTCCTTTAGCATTTATTTACTCTAGGTATGTTTCTTTCAATGCTTGCAACATAGTTGCTGGTAACAAAGACCACCTTGGCCTGTCACATTTCAATGGAAACTTTTTTAATGAACAACAAAATTTGTGTGATGAAAACGATTAAAGGAAAGTGAAATATGAAGACAGACTGCTCAGAAGATAACCTTTCTGATGTCATTTGTTAGCCAACAGTAACAATTTCTGTTCATACCTGAAATTCTTTATTGATACATAAGTATACCAAGGATTAACAATTGGACTGGCCATTGAATCAGCTAAAGGTATTGGTTTAATGATCAATGGTCGGACTGTGGTTGAATGATGGCTGGACTGGTCATAATTAATTTAATATATTTTTAAATTTATAAGGGAGAATCCAATTACATTCAGAGGATTTTATGAGAAATTGATTTACGGAAGCACATAATTTAGAAACAGAAACAGCAAAATAGAGAAAATAACTAGGAACAAAATGAAATTCTCCTTAGCATTCAAGACTTGAGAGGCTAGAGAGCTTTTCTCGCAATAGCTGAATTTTACTTTCCTCTCATTGACATGCACTTCCCATATGTATATGTATGTATGTTTGCATATATTCTGTCCTAGTTTCAACTCTCTTACACTCGCACTTCTCATAGCTACAGCAATGTGACTTATCATTGGTCCTTTAATTATGGGCCCATCAGAAAACAAACTTGGAGAGTTGGTTGAAAATGTTACAATTATATATTGTAAGGATTGATACGCATTGTACGCACTAGCTAAGTCACTTGAGTTGGTGAAATAATGAATTGATGATAGATCAAAATGCAAAAGATTCTGATAAAAGCAGTAAACATCTTGTATGATTGACCTTTTTCAAACTATGTTTCAGACCGTTGGCTTACTGGGAGAGAAGAAAGCCATGAGACTGGATCTTTCATATGAAGGATTACAGGTGGAGAAAGCAAAAGTTGGACCTTTAGGGTCTTCTCTTTTTGACTCTGCTGTTTCTGTTTCCTTTGGCTCAGAGTAAGTAAGAGCTTCAACAGTTAAGGAATCATGTGTTTATGGTGTGATGCAAGATCAGTAGCAAGAATAGAGGAAAGGAGGGAAATGTAGAAGAAATAAGGGACAATTAAATGACCTTTATTAATCAATCAAATTTCAGCTGTCTAACCCTAGCTATTAAGGGTCTTATATCTATATATATATTGCCCAAAATAAAGGGTCTTATATAGAGCCCATTAAAATACAAGATGATTTGACAATTTAAAATACAAGATTATAGGAAATTCCTAATAAATGATTCAATAAAATCCTAACAAATTGTTAAAATAAATCAATGTATAATACATCAAATCGAAATCCTAATATAGCTTCTTTTTTTTTTTTAATGCTAATATATCTCTTTAATAATTTCTCATTTGGTTCTCATGCAAACAAAATCACGTGTAGTTGATAATCCAACAAGCTTTCCAACGTTCATGTGTGAGATAACTCAAAAATTTGCCGTGTCTTCTCTTTGTCATTTAAGAGCATGATTGTGGTTTACAATTATACAAATTCTTCATATTCTGGGATCCTTGTTTCCTTTCCTTTGGGATCCTTTGTTTTCTTACAATTATGAAACTATTTCATTTCATCATTACTTTCATAGCTGTATAGTGGGTCTCTCACAATTTTAAAAATTCTAATGTTCCATTTTCCACTTTTATTCATGTTTAGGTCGGACACATGGGTGCTTGAGTTTGTTGACTTGGGAGGTGATATGAGGAGAGATGTTTGGTATGCATTATTAAGTGAAATTATTGCTTTACACAAGTTTGTACGTGAGTTCGGACCTGATGATTCTGATGAATCATTGTTTGATGTGTATGGTTCTCACAAAGGAAAGGAAAGAGCAACAGCCAGTGCCATTAATGGTATTGCTAGGCTTCAAGTCCTTCAGCAAATGCGAAAGTTGCTGGATGATCCCACAAAACTTGTTCAATTCTCATATTTAAAAAATGCACCGCATGGTGATATTGTCCTCCAATGTTTGGCGGTAAATTATTGGGGTGGCCCTCTGGTTACAGGATTTATGAATACCCGCAATAAACTGACTCAGGAGACCAGGCCTTCTAATGAACCTCCTGATAGTTGCAACAATGCTTTTGACATAGATGGCAGTGTCTACCTACAGAAATGGATGAAATCTCCATCTTGGGCATCTGGTGCTTCCACAAATTTCTGGAAGAACTCTTCAATTAAGCAAGGTTTAGTGTTAAGCAAGAATCATGTTGTGGCTGATTTATCACTTGTAGAAAGAGCTGCAGAAACATGCAAGAGAAAGTACCAGGCTGTAGAGAAAACTCAAGCAACAATTGATGCTGCAACTCTACAAGGCATACCCAGTAATATTGATCTTTTCAAGGTCTGTAAAGTTTAGTATGGTATTTTCTATTATAGTTCACTTTTGGTTTTCTAATCAATTATTTTGATAATAGATATCTTTCAAACTATTAATCTACACAATTGTAGAAACTCAAGATAAAACTTGCATTATGGAATCTACACTTTTGATTGCAAATCTTGTTCATTGATATTATTATGATTTCTGATAAATTTTAGGCATAATTTGTGTTGCCTGATAACGTTATGAATAACCTAAGTTTAAGGAAGTTCCACCAGACAACTATATAAACTAATATTTATAGTAGAAGACATTAAAAGCTCTCGAAAGATTAAACTCACTACTGATGCTTAAAGTTATCACTGGCGCCATCTAATGATACAGTTTGTTGTTCCCAATGTTTACAAAAATATTTTGGGTTGACTTTAGAGAGCATGAATGGTAATTTTGAGAAACACCATTTGTAATTTTGGTCTTTAAGAGGAATTTTGATTTTTAAGGACCTTTAGCGTAATTATACTCCATATGGGTTCTTGTCCCTGGTAATAACAAAGTCCAGACTTTAGTTTATATGTTAGCTCATCTTTAATCAGATGATTCAATGCATTCATCCCTCTTGATTTTGAAGTCATATATCATGCTGAAAAGTTTTCATTTGATCCTTCTAGGGTCATGCTTGAAGAAATTTTCTTTATTTAATGAGAGGAGGACCTTGGTCAAATTAATTCCAAGTCTATCACATTTTCAGTTGATTTCCAAGGAGTGAGACAGTTTTATGTGGTCACCTTTTTTCTGGATTATGGTCATCACAAAAGGGGGAAAAAGATTATAGCATTCTTTTTGGAAAAAAATATGCACAAATTATCATCCTTGAATGGAAACAGAATAAAAATAACTAGAATGTTACATGCCATGCTTTACATTGTCACTCGCTAATCCTTGCTATTTGTAGTAGAACAAAGATTCCATTTTGTCTTTGATTTTACTCTCAATCTCATCTTCTAAATAATAAAATGCCTAAAATTTTACATGCATCGAACTTGATATTGCACTGTTGCTTCTGCTTGTCTTAAATCTTGTGTGATGATAAATGGCATTTGTGGTGGCACAGTTTTGTGAGTATCAAAATTTCACTTTGACTAGGTCTTAGTACCAGTACTCCACTGCTCCTTTTTGTCCTATTCTTTTGATAGGATCCCAAAATCATTTTTTTTAAATAGCGACCCTGTTCTTTTGCAGGAGCTTTTGTTTCCTCTGAGCTTAACTGTGAGAAATATTGAGAAACTAAGGCGCTGGGAGGACCCACCTATGACTGCTGCTTTTCTGGGAGTTGTCTACACAATAATTTTTCGGTAGATCTCCCTTGTTAACTCGTATTTATTTTCATTGTTTTCTTTTTCTCATTTACAACTGTGGCAGAGTCTCAAAGTTGATGTGAAGATTCATCGACTTGCTGGCATTTATTTGCTGAATTTATTTTAAAATATTTCTTTTATGGGAAAAATTGTTGATGATAAGAGAAAAGCAATACAATATAGGAAACAAAGTATCCTCTCAAAAAATAAAATTACAGTCTTGCCATCCTTACAACTTTACATAAGAGTCTCCCAAAAAGGAAAAACTTATATTAAGTGAAAGACTATGATGGCTTTGTTAGAATTTAGAACACCATCTTCATACAGGAAAACCTAGGACAATGCTATATATGAGATTATGTGAACTACCTGATGCACATATAGCCATTCTCTCCATTGGGCCCCCAACTTTTCAGAAAATATTATTGGTTATGACTTCACTCAGTTTTTATTGAGAAGTTTGGTTATTAATACAGGTTATATATCTTTCAACATATTAATATTATTTACACTGCTCTCTTCAACAGCAAACATGTATTCACTTCAAAATTTTTCCATGGATGCATTGTCTTGTGCCAATATTCAGTAGAGGTCCGCAATTTTTGCTTTGATCTTTTGTTCTGCTGTTTCAAAAATTTGTAGTTTATGAATTTTAAAAAGGTGCGCTAAAAGAATTGTCCTGGACACTCTATTCAGTCTACTGAAAGTACATTTTAACTTGTGACATAAATTTCTATTGGTCTTTCATGTGTGTCTTTCTCATGGAAACTGAGTTCCGTTCTCTACATTTGAACTTATGGCTTAAAAGTTCTCTGTTGGGCAGTGATATATATCTTGTGGACTCGCCCTGAAAGCATTTTCTGTGATGGAATATATGAATAAAATTCGTTGTTCAAAATGTACTTCAATGGTTGATTTATAGCTAATTGCTTAATGGACACCTTTTTCTTTTCTTTCTATGTTTTTTGGTCAAAGCTGAATGGATTCCTTATCCTTTCATGTTATTGTACTTTGAGCTGACGTATATATTTTGATTTTCTCTACCAGAAACTTGCTGTCATATGTTTTTCCCATGATGCTGATGATTTTGGGAGCTGGAATGTTGACAATCAGGGGGCTTAAGGAGCAAGGCCGTCTTGGACGGTCTTTTGGTAAAGTCACAATACGTGATCAGCCTCCATCAAATACTATACAAAAGATCATTGCTGTAAAAGATGCCATGCGTGATGTTGAGAATTATATGCAGCAAGTGAATGTTGCACTTCTGAAAATGCGTGCTATTTTACTTTCAGGTCATCCACAGGTACAGTAATGTGGGTAATGGAAAATTATCTTGGCCTCATGATATAGTTTGTTTCGGTGGCTTTTAAATCCTGTCATTGATGTACATTCATTTTGACCTTTTTCAGGTAACTACTGAGGTAGCATTGCTGCTGTTATTTTCTGCATCTATTCTCCTCATTATCCCATTCAAGTACATTTTTTCCTTTCTTATATTGGATCTCTTTACACGAGAGCTTGGGTTCAGGAGAGAAATGGTAAAGAAGTTCATAAGTATGGTGAGGGAGCGTTGGCATGCCGTGCCTGCGGCTCCTGTAGCAATTTTACCATATGAAGATGATGAGTCCAGATCAGTAAGTCCGCTAAAGGAAACTGAGGACCAAGAAAAACCACAAGGAAGTCAGAATGGTTTTAAGTCCAGATAGTTGCACAATGATCATGGTTGTTTATAGAATACGATAGATGTAATTTTCTGTCAATTCTTGTGTAAAGAAGACGACATTTGTGTACTAGTTTGACTCTTTATGAAATGCTTGATCTGATTAGCTTTATCTCCAGTTCTGCACTAACGTGATGGACAGAAGTTGCGTGTATATATATATATATGTATATATATATTTTTTTAAGTATTACTATCACTTTTCCACAACAGACATATTTCAGCTCTTCCCAAACGGTTCCTCCATATTTTATGTTTTTATTGAAGGAGTTGATGGTTAAAAAAAAAAAAAATTGGTTTACATGTGATAAGAATGCAATCTTCTATGGGCAACGTGAGCTTTATTGGATTTTCTCCTCTATATGATATATCCATTCATCCAAAGAGAATCAAAGTTTTATGAAGATAAATTATGCTGTGGAAGTTGAAAGTGTTTCTCCTTGGAGATAAAGGATTTCTGGGGCTACCAGATGAGGTACTTACCCCCTCACCTCATTGCTCCACCTCGTTTCTTTTCCCAGCACAATCTTATGGATGAAAGCCTCAGCCAGAGGAAATTGTTCCATTGTATTCAATAAAATATGTAGCATTTTCTTTGTATGCTGCTTTTAGGGGAGAGGCATCGTTTTGTGTGTTTGACTGGCTGATAATTTTTGCATGCAAATAGCATCCTATATGAGGTGTATAGAATGTTTAGACCTAGTCTCCCTTTGGCTACTAATCATGATTGCTAATTGTATGGTTACTTCTTTTTCAAATATTTTCAGCAGCTTGCCATAGGAAACAAGCTGAAATTTAAAAAAAAAAAAAAATTGAAACTAGCTCTGAAATTGAACTGTTATTGATTGAAACAATCTTAGATTGCCAATGGCTCAGTGCCGCAAAAAAGGGAGATTGCTGATTCAACCCCTAGGTGGGTTTGTGAGAGTGTGTGAGTTCTCCTCCCCCAATGCAGAGGGTTTGCAATGGTTTTTTTTTTTTTTTCCTTTTTGAAGGGGGAACTTTGTGAGTGTGATTGTCCCTTTCAAAAAGGGGGAAAAAGGATGAAATAATCTTAGATATGTTCCTCTTTTCATTCATTGCCTTATCAAAGCCCTGGCTAGGAGAGAAAGAAAAGAAGTGATTATAACTTGGAAAAATGTATGTACATAACATATAAAACGGCTGGAGGACATCTTCAATTTACTTTGAGGAAAAATAAAGGGAAGCAATCAGGAAATTTCAAGTGAAGCGAACTAGTAGTGTTCATTGAAAAGATCTTCAACAAGCATGATTTGCTAAGATGTGATCCATGAACTGAACATGAAAGCCAATGGCATCATCATGACCCACCAGCTCTGAGGTATGGCTTTATAAGCTTTTGATTTTGATGCCTTACATTGACGTTGATTGTCATGGGAGGTGGGTACCGTTTGATTCCTGCATTTAACAAGAATTAGGTTGTACAAATCTAATATTGAAGGCCATTATCAATGTCTTTCTAGTACATGGAATGGAATATGTTATTGCATGAAATTATTAGAGATATTAATAATGAGAACTTTTTCGAAATTTGATTTACTATTAGTATCTTAGTGATCGAGAGGTTTAGAGCATGATGTTTACCTGGATCCACAAAATGTCACAACGAAATCTGCTCCTGAGCATGTTATAATACTTGTTCGATCGTCAAATGCATAGCTGTACGCGGCAGGACACACAGATTTGAAACTCTTTGAGTAGCTTGAAGGCAAGCATGTTCCTGCATTTCCATGCTGCCCTGTGCAACAATACTCATCAGTTTTGAAGACGTCACAGGCGCTCCGGCAAGCAATAACTTTGCCGTCGTCCTTCATGGCTAGCTGCGACGGGCAGTTCTTCCTCAGATCTCCATCACAACCTACACTGCTGCAGTTCCCTGTGCCATTAACAGCCTGCACTGCTACAGGCACGTTGAACCCATCCACAAGGCTAACATCATAGAAATCACGGTCGCCAAGGGTGAATTCGGCAAGCGTCGTGGGTGGGCTTCCTGGGGTGGTACAGTTTATGTCAGTACCACAACCACCTGTTCGGCACTTGCCAGAGCCGTTTTTGTCAAAGTTGCAGCCTGTTCTAGCCCATATCCGGCCACTCCATCCAGTAGGAGCAGTAAATGATTGTAATTGGCATGGCTTCAACGTGAAGCTACCACTAGTGAAGTTGTCATTCTGAGTTATCCCAGGCCATATTATTTCATTGCAGTAATTTACAAAAGTGAAAGTTTGCTTGCTTCCACACAGTTCTGGTACTGCCAGCCAGCAATTAAAATTTAAAATCACCAAGCAACAAACAAAATGCTAAGTAACTAAACAAAGTTCCAAGTTCAGTACATTAGCATATCATGTCCCTTTCTCTATGATATTATGACTTAAGATGCTATGTTTACCCTGTCATAGTGTACTAGTAGTATCACCAATCTCAGTTTTTGAGAATTTGATGTCAAGGTTCCATTTTTATCTCTGCCACTAATCTCCTATCATTATCTTAGGGAAAAAAAAACGTATATCTATGACCCTAGGTTTTAAAAATTTTTCATATAAGGATGCAAAAACAAGTTATTATTGCAGTCCTTAAAATTATATCTTTCAGATTTTTTAGCTCGGTAATTTTTTCACTGTCTTTTTCTGGGGATATGATACCCAGACAGAACATCGAATACTACTGTGTATACACAAAACAAGTCTCTACATATCATTTGTGTTAAGTGGGAACAATTTAAGATTTCTAAGGCCACATTAATGAGTTTTGAGACCCATAAAAGAAAGTGACAGAATTTGGTGCAGATCTATCTAGGATGACACCTTAATACAATGTAATGACTAGCAGTGATCTCCAAGCAATACCATTAAATTGGAAATTTAAAAAGAACGAATTCTGAATGGTATAGATGTTCAAAGCAAGAGATGTGTCAATGATAAGGATAACAACAACAAATATCAGACTCTATCAAGAAAACAAGAGATATGAAAAATGCAAGAAGGAAAAGAAAAGATTATTATTATGCAATGAGAAAGGTACCTGAGCCAATGACAATGAAGATGAAGGCGAGTTTAAGAAAGGCAGTGCATGGATCAGCCATACTTTCCCAGCTTCTAATTATGGGACAAGTCGAACGTTAATTGTGAAGTTATTTATGGCATTGGCTGAGACAAAAAGCATTGAAGAATGCTTGTGGAAGAGAGTGAATCTTTTGGATCCTGACAGACAAACTCAAAAAGACTTCCTTGCTTAGCCTAAGATCAAAGATGATACCTTGCCCACCAGTCCCATTCTTATTTCTTTACATTAATAATAATTTTGTGTCTCCTTTATACCTTGCACAGATGCTTCGTGCTTGTTAAATTTGCAGTAATGTATCTTAATTAACAAGACTAATCACTTTTGACGGCACTAGTTAAGTGAGTTGAAAAAATAATTCTGATTTGTCAGGTGGGTTAAGCGCATTGGTCTTTTTATTCCCATAAAAAATTAATTAAAAAAATAAAAAACACATGATTCAATATTTAATTTTGGCAAAAAGGCATTCTTAATGTTAACATCGTTCAAGGTTTTAATTTTTAATTTTATAAATTTTATTTTTAATATTTTAACCCTAACATTATTTTTTTATTAACAAAAAAATTAATATTAAACTTTTAAATATTAACAAAACATTCTCAATTATTTATATATTAATTTTAATTTTTTAAAATAATAATGATTAGTACAACAATTTATCATTTGAAACTAACACTGTTAGGATTAAAAGATTAAAAACATACCTTATAAAATTAAAAAATTAAATTAAAACCTCATATAAAGTTAAAAAAACAAGTGTGCACTTTTTGCTTTAACATTTAATATTTCAATATCTTAAATAATTCAATATGCCTTCAACCTTAATATTCAACTAACTTATAGTTAATTTAGATAAAATTAATATAGATATTTTAATATCATTTCTCATCATGTTAATATAAAGCATATGTTATATAAATATTTACAATTTTCCTTTATTAAGTTGTCAATAAACTTTAGTATTTAAATGTTTTGTAGAGGAGATCATAATGTTTGACCTAAATTTTATTAAAAATCCAATCCAATTGGACCAATATTGGGGGATGGGTTTCTCTCCACTACCTTTTTTCTTCACTATTTCTCCACTGTAAATCTAAACTGTTTAAATTAAATATGTATTTTTAAAAATTATTACATCTAAATTTTTAAATTTAATTTAACGGTTTAGATTTGTATTGATTTCTCCATTTCTCTCCTTTGCAGGGGAGAGAATCCACTGCCAATGTTGGTTGGTAGGGGTGGGTACTCACTTAGCTCCGTAAACTCAGTCAATTCCCTTAGGTAAGGTTAAATAAAATTATTTTTTTAGGAGGACATATTTAGTTAGAAGAAAGATAATTACATTTTTTTTTTCATAGACCAAATTATTTGTTTCATTTCTAAACGTTTTTAAAACATTGCTAAAAGTTACACAAGCTACAAAATGTGGCTAAGAGAGTCCTGATATTTAGAACTAGTAATTCAAGCTAGCTCTAGTAAACTTAAAAAAATTTAAGGCTAGGACTTTATAAGATAATATATTTTTAACGTTCTAACCAACTTAAATAAGGTTGAGAAAAATTAGGCCAACCTATCGAGTTCAAGCTTTGCCTGAATACCCTTGTAACATTTTGATTCTTTCAAAAAAAAATAATATATTAAAGGAAAATGATAACAAAATCCTTTTAAATTATGTAAATGACAATTTGATCTCTCGAAATGTCATAATATTAATGAAATCTTTGGGGACCTCTTTATCAATAATTTTTTTAGGAAAAAGACAATTTTTTCCTTACTGAAAATAATAAGACCCAATCACAATTTTTATTTAAAAATCACAAGAATTGAATAAAAAATTACAACTTGTTAAGTGCAATTTCTATTATTAAAAATAAGCTCCAATCATAACTTTTATTTAAGGAATAATAACTTTTATTTTGTGAATTGTGAGAATTGAATAAAAAATTATAATTTATTAAGTATAATTTCTATTATTGAAAAATAAGTTTTTAAAATAACGAATTCCATTCACAACTTTTATTTAAAGAATCACAACTTTTCTTTAAAAAATTGTAAGAATTGAACAAGTTAATAAGGGTAAAATGGTCTTTTTTTCTAAAAAGTATTGACAAAAAGGACCCTACGGACTTCATTGATATTATGACATTTCAAGGGACTAAATTATCATTTATATAATTCTGAAAGATTTTTTTATCATTTTTCCTATATTAAATATTAATTAATTATTTAAATATTAGTTGTTTTATGTTGAGAAACCATATATCTGAGTACATTATTAACTTTGATTATTAGTTGGCTAAAAAAATTACAAAAAATAATCAAAGAAATTACACAAAAGGACCTTAATCAATATTAGTTTTTTCTAGTGTCATTTTCTATCTTTTTTGAGGTTAATTAATGATCAAAATTAATACTTTTAAATTGTAGAAGCAATATTACGCTGTTTTGAAATATTAAAGGGCAACATGGCATAAAAAATGAACTTAGAATTCCAGATGTTCCTGAACCTACATTTTAAAGGTAAAACACATGCACAAACGACAAATAATGATGTGAGTAGTTAATAATTAATAATTCAAATATTATTTTAAAACTTTGTCTCAATTTTTTTTCTTTTATAACACAATGATAATGGAAAGTTTATATATTTATATATAATTTAAAACATTGTAATAAATTTTATTTTTCATATCCCATCCCATAGCATAGATGACCACATCTACACTAATATGCTAACAAGGTTGAGAGAAAAGCCATTTGTTTTCATGGGAATACTTTGGAAGGTATCTTACTATTGTCGTGTACAATTGCTGACATAACCATCATTTTTTTTTTTCATTTGTGATTTGCACCATGATTGATGTAATACCTTAGTGTCAGAGTCAAGTTTAGGCAAAACTCAAATTTAAATAAAGCACAGGCAATAAATGTTGTTTCATATAAGTATGAGATAGATGCTCTAAATTATTTGATCTTATGAAGTTCAATAATTATTAATTATGAGCTAGCTAGATGTCTAATTGTAATACATGCTCAGCAAAAACGTAATTCCCATAGGTGTATAAAATCACAATAATAAATTATCCAAAATATTTCAAGTGTTGAACTTATAAGGATGCAAATCGTGCCATGCGTCATCATTGATCTAGTAACTTTGGATTCTAACATGAACTTACAAAGGCGACAACCTTGCCTGCTTAATTAGAACCATTCCTAGCCTTCTCAGAACTCCTAACAAGGCAAGCATTTTCCAAATTGACATTTCCATGCCCGGTATGTTATGAATTTTGACAAATTGCAAATTATTTATGTAATTAGAGGGTACGGTTTTGGATAATGCCTATCTTGATTACCCATTGGGCGACATTTGGTTAATTGGCTCATTGCTTAATCTGTTGCTTATTTGGATAACCTGTGAAGGATGAAAGTTTGAAAATTTTTATTAACTTTGTTTGCCTTATTCCTTAATCACAGATGGATTCCCCTTCGAACCCCTATTCCATGATTCTAGATCTTATTCTTTTCAACTATCTTAGTAGTGTATGCTAGCCAATTCCTTTAACAAACATAAACCACTAACAAATTTTATGTTTGTTTTAATAAATAAAAAAAAGAAAAACCTAGTGCCTTTAGAATTTTAGACGCTTTGGAAGTCAAAGAATAGTTGGAGATCCTGAAATTATTGAATATGTTGGAGTCATCATTAGAGTTATCATTACCATTCCATTGAAGCAAATGCAATGGTTTCGTCCACACTTAATAAGAGAGGATTGTTTCTCGTAATTCTTCTCAATAAAGTGATTAGACGATTCTTGCTCATGTAATTCTCCTTGAGAAATATCTATTTTGTCCTTCGTCAATTCAGTACTCATCCACTCAGATCCATGTTGGATGCCACCTAACATTATAAGTCAAACTTCTTTCTCTCTCACCCAACATAACAGTTAGGGGCAACATTGCTATGTTTTAATTACTTAAAGGGTGACATTGCTATGACAAAGAATTTATAATACTGAGTGCTCTCCCACGAATAGTTTAAGAATAAAAATGGACCTTAACTTTAATAAAAATAACTAAATATATAAGGAATTTTCTATCAATAGAACCATTGGAGTTCGGGATTCACTTTATAGGTTGTTAATTTCTACCTTTTAAATTGATTCTTTATCAATTACAATGACAATTGTTACTAAATGAGTATCCTAATTAACTCTCGACTAATTAGTCTCTATTTAATTAAGATTGAATTTGTTCTTGTGCAACCCAAACTCCTAATCAAACCCAAACTCCTAATGAATTTAATTTAAGTCACCGTAAATTTTTAAATTTATCTCTAGTTCGATTATTCATATTTACCTTTCTAGATCTAAGCTCACTCTTCACCTTTCAGTTTATCAACTTTGCCCATAGTTTAATTATTATGCTAATCAAGCATAACATCCCATGAAGAACAAGACAAATAAATAGAAATGAAAAGTAAATCAAAAACAAAAAAATTGAATAAAAAGGAAAGATATATTAATAGCAATAGTCAAATACAACCCATGCAACATCAAAACACTACCTAGAACAATTTTGACCCGACAAGAGCAATGTATGCTTGTGATTGGCATGGCTTCAATGTGAAGCTACCATTAGTGAAGTTGTCATTGAGTTATCCTATAGGCTATATTATTTCCTTGCAGTAATTTACAAAAATGAAAGTTTGCTTGCTTGGCACAGTTCTAGTTGCTGCCACCGAACAATGAAAAATTATAATCAACAGACAATAAACAAAATGGTAAGTAACTAAACAAGTTCCATGTTTAGTGCATTAGCATACCAAGTCCCTTGCTTTATGATATTATTTATGACTTAAGATGCTATGTTACCCTATCATAGTGTATTAGTAGTGATACCAATCTATCAAGGTTTCATTTTTATCTCATTCACAAGTTTTAAAAATTTTGCATTTAAGGATGAAAAAGAGTCATTATTGCATTCTTTAAAATTATATATCTTTTAATAAGCCATTGTTTTTAAGGTGAATGCTT